TACATTCAAAGAACAATCCATATATTAATGATGTAATTATTTAAAACAATTTTAATAAAATGTGGTTGCTTAGTGGCATAAAAAACATCGTTCAATATTTGATTACTTTTTTAAAAAAAAGTACGTATGCAAATGATTAGGTAAACATCCCCCGTATATAATTTTATATCATGCATCCAAAGCGTGATTTCTTGTCATGTGATTTGAAAAATTTGCATAATAAATGTACATATGTATAATACGAAACCAATCGACTTTGAGCATATTCTCGCGCGTTTAAGGTCGCAAGGTATTTGACAATAATAATAAGTCACCGTCTGTTGCAAGCAATAACAGTGGCAATTAACAAAAACAACTTAAAAGGCAAAAGTAGCTTTTTTGTAGTAATGTTAATTTAATAAATGCTCATGGTAACCTATTCGGTGCATAAATTAATATGCAACTCAAATATGTGAATGCAAACACGTAGAGTAATATTGATATGTATAACATATCATATGAAAAACACCCTATAGCCCTAATTCGTAATGATTAATATTAAATACTTGCGATAACGGCCCACCCTTATTGCACGGCTCGCTTATCTAAACAGATAGGACGTACAAACAATTCAATAAGTATGTAAAATCATTCGACACTTGGAGGTTCTTTGAAGCCCTACCAATTGAATTCTTTATTTTAGAGATCTTTTATATCCTCACACCGGACAACCAGCTGCTTGGAAGCAAAGACTAAAGAACAAAGAAGTGAGAGTCAGTAGAAAATATCTCTATACAGCAGTCGCCGTCTGTAAGTTTATTGTCTAGTACGTAATTAAAGAAGGAATTTTTAACTGTAATCTCGGGATTGAGAAAAACCAAGTAAAAGAGGTAAATATGTACCTTTTTTTTCAGGTAATCTGTCATCAATTGCTTTGGGGATAACGTTAACCTGGTCTTCCCCGGTAATATCAAAGTTAAACGGAGAAGTAAAAACAGACGACAATCCCCTAGGTCGTCTCATAACTATCGACGAGGAGTCATGGATAGGGTCGTTGATAACTTTAGGAGCGGCTGCCGGTCCTTATACAGGCGGTCTCTTAGCAGATCGCATCGGACGCAGGAAAACATTGATTTTAACCGCCGGGGTACCATCACTAATATCGTTCATCATGTTAGCATTTGCTTCAGACATATACGTGTATTACATCGCTAGGTTTGTAGGGGGCATATCGATAGGTGCCATCTATTCAGTTCTGCCAAGTTACATAAGCGAAATTAGCGAGGACAAGAATCGGGGTGCCATGGGTTCCGTTATGAACGTGTTCATAACAGTTGGCCTGTGCTGGTCGTACGTGATTGGACCGTTCGTGACCATCCGGACCTTCAGTCTGATATGTGCCACGGTACCTGCCGTGTTCATTGTATGGTTTAGTTTTTTTCCAGAGAGCCCGTACCATTACGTGGCCGTTGATAAACCTGAAAAAGCCGAGGCGGCTCTCCAGAGGTTGAGGATGGCAACGGCGGACGACGTTCGAAAAGAAATGGAGCTCATTAAGGCGACCGTGGACGATTCGAAGAACAAGCAACTCGGTTTCGTAGATCTGTTTAAATCCAAAGGCCTTACAAAAGCTCTCATCATTTCGATGAGTCTGGTTGCTTTCCAGCAACTGTCTGGTATCAATGTGGTGCTGTTCTACACTCAAACAATTTTCGAAGCGACTGGATCGAGTATTTCCTCGGTTTTCTCGTCAATTATAATCGGAGGCGCTCAAATGATACCTAGCGCGATAACACCTTGCGTCGCTGATACTGCAGGTCGTAGGGCAACCCTGATGTTTTCTGCCATCGGTCAAATCATATCAGAAATACCTCTGGGTCTCTATTTTTATTTAAAACACTCTGGACATGACGTGAGCGCAATTTATTGGTTGCCCGTGGCCTGTCTCGTCGTTTATATAATCACCTTCAGGGTAGGTTTCGGTCCTTTGCCCTGGACCATAATGGCAGAAATTTTTCCGTCCAACGTCAAAACGGCCGCGTGTACTGCAACCGCAAGTTTTTGCTATATTTTGGCCTTCCTTATTACGCGATTTTTTCAAAATTTGACCGTCTATATCGGAATGGAAGGCGGTTTCTGGCTTTTCTCTGGTTTTTGTATTTTATCCGCCATATTTATCTACTTGTACGTGCCAGAAACAAAGAAAAAGAGTTTCCAAGAAATTCAACGCATTTTAAACGGCGAAAACTGAATAAAGTATAAGTGCATACCTACACAGATTCAGTAGCATAGGTGACTACTTTTTATCGTACTTTTGTGGTAACATTTATGATATGATCGTATGACATACCTACTTATGTACTTAGACGATTTTTCGCAAATCGCAGTATCTTACAGAAACGATTTGCAATTGCTCACTATTCCTTAATGCGTGACGACGATTGTGCTTGATGATAAGTTCCCTCAATAATAGTATGTGATAATAGTAAAGATCAAGAATCATTGTTTTCGAGCAATAATGGTAATTAAGTACAGTATTAAAACTTAGTTTAAGTCAAATCTTAGAAGGAAGTTGGGGAGGGGCAATATTTTCGATATTTAAGTTACCCGTATTTATTTTTCTAACGTTATTTATAAAAATATTATCAGTTTTCTTAGAAAGAACAAGTTCAAATACCCCGGTTAGGTAAGACTGATTAGAGTAAAAACAAAGTAAAATTCTCATTTTTAATTTAAAAGCAAAATAAAAATCTTTTTAATTAGCATACCATTAAATGTATTTAATTATGACGGTGTATCGCCATCGGTTTATATTGTATCAGTTTGCTCTTAAAACTTCTTCGAATCATGGAGACCGCTTTTAGCGTGTCAATGAGATCTAGTAAGATAGAAAACGCGGTCCGTGACGGGTAGTTTCGAAGAACGTTAGATAGTATTCTTATTAAGGGAATTTATGGTCGTGTTCACCTGGTTGTACTTATAATTATCTATACATATTTGTATAACAACACTACAAATCTAAAATATTATTTTAGTACATATGTTCCTGTTCATTGTAAAAAAAATTGACAAAAATTTAATCAAAATTAACCTGACTTCAGCTTGTGTACTTCCCCTAACCAACCTATAGGTATTTAGGGTTTCTTAATTTTTATGAAAGCCGAAACTGTGGGTACACGAGCTTTTCAATGTTCGAAAACTTGCCTCACACACACTTACCAAAGAGCGAAAAGTGATCTTGCCATGTTTTATAATTTACACGCGTAATCGTGTTATTCACGAAAATTTAAAAAACACGGACGTACATATAAATAAATAAAATTTCGATTGTTTAAAAACATTCCGTAGTGGGTAAAGAAAAAGTTTTCAACACTTCATCCGAAACGCTTAATCCTCTGGGAGCATTCTCATATTTTATATCGTATTATATCATTTTAAAAAGTATACAACTGCCAGATAATTTACAATAATAGGCGAAAGTCTTTAATTTCTCGCTGTAATTTAAAGATCAGTATTTTGCCAGTTGAAGTTGGGTTGTACATATAAGAGATGCTTTATACATTTTTGTAATAATGTTAAGTTAAAGGTTAGTGATGTTTCACTCCAAAGAAACCTTCTAACAAGACGAACCCTAAACCCCTTTTGAAAGCTGTATCATGTTGTTACTGATTAGTGTAATAATTATTTACTTTAATTGCCAGTTAAGATAACATGTGACATTGTTTGTTCCATACGATTACTCTATTGTTAAATAATTTATATTAAAACTGTTGTCAAACGGGAGTTTCCAAGTTTCCCGATAGTTGCGTTGCTTATTGTATAGAAAGTTTGTAGATGATTAATTTGTGTAACTTTTGTGTTTTATCACCATGTAATTTCAATATGTTGTTGAAATCTTTAACAGTCTTTAGGGTATTTTACTTTTTGTAATTTATAACAATATTGTGTTTACATTAGTTGCTCTCCGAGAGAAGCAGTAGAATGAACGAATAAAGAATGAAACTAGCGGTTAATAGTGTTTGTCTTATCCCTTATCAAACGTCAGCCCTATCCATTTAAAAAAAATCAGCTCTCAAATGCATACGTATATTACATGTATGTAAGTATATCGATCAATTTCATTGCAAAACCCCACATTAAAATTTCAAAAAAAACATACCTATGCATATACGTAGGTATGTATATGATGTATATTTATTATACAAAACAAACGAAACGAGATGATATGTATTAATAAAGTGTGACAGCGACAAAGTACAGAGAAGGAAAGATTTATGTAGTTAATGCAAAGTGGACGTACATTCAAAGAACGATAATTACCGTATTTATATCCATATTAGTCCAATTTATTACTTAGCAAGCCATCTTTTTTTGGACAACTACAGTCGCGTTACAAATTTATTGAGTATAAGACGCAACGGTCTTGGAAAAAATATCAAGTTATAATTAAATTACCTACTCTAAATTGGCGGCAAACTAAAAGAAAACAAGGCGTAAGTTTTTTTGACTATTTTTGGCTCTTTTGAATGTATCTTGGCTTTTTTTGAACAAATACACCTAACTATGAATATGTAGTTCATTAACTGACTTTTTTGTTTACTTTTGTTGCTAAAGATTTTTTTATTCCTTTCTTCTTTAGGAAAATGAAAAAACAAACAAACCTAGCTAATGTCCAAAGGAGCAGAGTTCAGTTGTACTTGGCAATTTCTGTTTGTAAGTTAACTTTTTTATATTTACAATTCGTTCCCCTCTTGATAAATAAAATGCTGCAATCGGGGTTCTAAAAGTTTATTCTTAAACTTAAACGAGGTCTCGCCTCCTCGTGCGGGCTTTTTCAAGGTTAAAATATATATTTTTTCTATATTTATGTACTCTAGTGAAACGAGTGTGTGTATATTGTATCACTTGTACTAGCCGCATCTTTTGGATGTAATTATAATATACATATAATTGAGAAAATTTAGTAAGTATACATATGTGTATAAAAGAAATATAATGCAGCCCAATACATTTTACTCTAGCCTTGGAAAAGTCGTGCATGAGGAGACGAAATGTCGATTGAGTTCCCAAGAATAAATTTTATAAATAATAACTCTTACTGAAGCTCTATTTCGAATTTAAAATGTTGCCCGTGAGTGACACCGACGCGACGCTTGGTAGAATGTTCATAAACAAATACTTCCTATCATAATGCAAGCCCTTTTAACTTTTAAACAGTTAAATAAAACTAATAAATACATACGAGCACACCAAATTATATTTCCCATTCTTAACGTTATAACAAATTACAGGGGTACTTCCTCTAGTTATAATTCATATCTAACTTATGATTGTTTGTGTACGTTTTTTTCTCATAAAACGATAAGAAACAATCCGTCGCAGACTTTATTTCCCTCCTATTTGATGTATACGAATTTACACTGTATGTTGTCCTTTTATAAAACAATGATTCAATATTAACGTTTCCGATATCGCAAACCATTCAAGTATGTACACCCGACGTGTTTTTGGTATAATTTATTTAAATTTTTATTTGGTAGTAAAAAAATATGGTGCGCACTTTAAATAAAAAACAATAGATACCTAACATTTTGGTTGTAACTGATGTAATAAAGAAATATCCAGTTGTTTCTCGCCTTTCTCCGGACCTATACGTACATGTAAAAAAAAAACATGAAATTAACTAACGAAGAAAAACCTAGAAGATTGTATTAGTTCCTTACAACATTTGTAGGTAAGTTAATGTAGGTGTGATAAGTAATGAGTAACGTTAAACGAACAATTTAAGAATAAGTCACCTAAATTGCATTCATTCAGTATATATGTGTAAGTACATTTCACTGATTGTTTCAACCAAAATATGTAAAATTTTTGATTTGAAATTGCCGTCTTATCGTTTTCTGATGGGAGACACGATAGCACGCAAACGTTTAAGGCAGGAGCACGACATCCGCAATGTTAATATTTGGATACCCAAAAAATTGTTCACGAAACAAATAAACAAACCTACACGTACTTATATGATACGAGTTGCAACACTATTTTCAAATGAATTATAAGACCTTTTTTCAGGCAACTTGTCCTCGGTGGCATTGGGCATCACTCTTTCTTGGTCTTCGCCGGTTATATCAAAACTGAATGGAGAAGTTTCAACCGTTGATTTGCCATTGGGCCGACTGATAACAGACGAAGAGGAATCCTGGATTGGTTCCTTGGTGACTCTAGGAGCCGCTTCGGGTCCTTACATAGGCGCCTTTCTAGCCGATTCCATAGGTCGAAAGAAGACTCTTATATTTGCAGCGGGAATTCCCAGCTTCATTAGTTTCGTCATCTTAGCTTTCGCAACGAATTTGTACGTCTATTATTTCGCTAGGTATATAGGAGGACTTGCTATAGGAGCCATTTACACTGCGCTACCCAGTTATGTATCCGAAATATCGGAAGATGTTAACAGGGGTGCTACAGGATGCGCTATGAATATTTTTATCACATTAGGACTGATATGGTCGTACAGCATAGGCCCTTTCGTTTCGATAAGAACGTTTAGTTTGATTTGTGCCGTCGTTCCTCTAACGTTTATAATATTATTTTCATTTTTTCCTGAAAGTCCGTACCATTACGCGGCTAAAAACGATTTGGATAAAGCCCACAATGCATTAAGCAAAGTAAGAATGAAGACGATCGACGAAATAAAAGGCGAAATGAAAACGATAAAGGACACTGTTGACGGGCAAATGAAAGACAGAAAAGGCATCTGTGATTTATTCAAAACATACGGAAGTGTAAAAGCTCTTATTATTTGTATGAGCCTCGTAGCTTTCCAACAATTTTCCGGTATAAATGTGGTATTATTTTACACTCAAACAATTTTTGAAGCAACCGGAAGCAGCATATCTTCAATTTTATCTTCGTTCATAATTGGCTTAGTGCAGTTAATCCCCAGCGCAATTACGTCACTTATTGCGGACTCGTTGGGTCGCAAAGTCACCCTCTTATTTTCCGCTCTGGGCCAGATACTGTCCTTGTTTCCTTTAGGTCTTTACTTTTTTTTAAAAGAGAAAGGAAACAATGTGGAAGCTGTTTACTGGTTACCTGTTACGTGTCTTGTTATATACATTGTAACTTTTCGGGTTGGGTTCGGACCCTTGCCCTGGACCATAATGGCCGAGTTATTCCCACAGAATATAAAAACAGCGGCGTGTACGATTACCGGTTCCTTTTGCTACATTTTGGCCTTCGTTATAACCAAGTATTTCCAAACTGTCACATATTACATAGGAATGGGAGGGGGGTTTTGGATTTTCACTGGATTTTGCATCTCATCTTTTTTATTTATTTATTTTTACGTTCCGGAAACGAAACAAAAAAGTTTTTTAGAAATTCAAGATATATTACATGGACGTCATATAGGCAGAAGCAGATGTTAAAAATAACTCTAGTGAAATTTAGTTAGTCTAATTATAATAACCTACTTAATTAAAAAACTATTTGTTGAAATAAATTTAAAAGATATTCATGTACCTAGAATGTTTTGCTCCATGTGTATATTTACGAGTTTTTTATTTTGTTCATCGTACTTAACAACAGTTGTACGTGCTGAATTATAAAATAAACGATTAGACAGTAATCTAGTTAAAGTTAGAAATTAATGCGTGCACCTCCACAATGAAAATGCACCTATACAGAGATAGCCATTTACCTACATATGTTGAAAATTCCATTCATTCTTTTAATAGGAATTTGTGACAATTTATTCTAGAAACAGTAAAATTCTGATACATGTACCGTGATTATCCCTCGTTGTAGCCAATGATACCCCCAAATAAAATCAGTATAAGATAAATAAAGCAGAGTTGTCCAACTTTTGGCATCAGAAAAGAAGACTTATAATTTTCAGCGGTTCTAAAAACCCAGATGTCCTGGCTCCTGAACATAACTTTATTTTTCCGAACAGCTAAATAAAGAAAGTTGGTCACTTTTTTCCTAAAGTTTTCAAGTTTTATTACAACCCTCATACATAAACATGTTTAATACTTGAATTTATTATTTGACTCTTAAATCCTATACAGGAAAAATTTGAACTTATTCAACTTATAGGCCTCCTCCTCCCCTTATAGCCTTCCTAACCTCACNCTTTTGTTTGTTACTTCGTTTCGATCATTTTAAATTGTTATCTATCGTAGGTATACTAGGAACGCAACGTAAACTAACGAAAAAAAAAAAAAAAATAGTAATAATAAAAAGTTTGTGGGTAATGTCTGTTGTGCTGTTATATGTATAATAAATGTCATTTAATTTTGCCGTTTGTTGATGAACGTTTGCCAAGAATATTTTTCTAGGTTCAAACGCATAACGGCAGCGTTAGAACACAAGAAACGACATGGGAACAAATATCTTCAGAAGCTCCAAGCAGAGCTGTGGAAAACCAGTACAGTTTTGTATAAAGCGAAATCATCCGATCCGAATAATAAATACGTACATATGAGCCAACAGGCAATCGATCTAATTCGATCCTGTCATTGACGTAACTATTGTTTTTATTATAACAAAGTACCTACATGTTTGTAAGGAACATTTGTGTATTAAGAACTTCCTCTAATCTCTGTGTATGTGTTTATATGTATATGTGTACGTATAGGTGTACTGTAGACACGATAAAATTGACAATTAATATTTTTATCGTAATTAATGTGAATAAGGAATTTGAATTTTTGTTTCGAAAACGCCATTTAAGCTCACCGCTAATAAATAACCCTTACAATCTCCGATCGGGACAATATAATAAGTATGTACTTCGTTCGTTAGTTTTGCCTTTTCCTACCGTAATTTTCCAATCTTGCTCTAACCGTTTATTCCGCTGTTTTGCATTATATGCATCGTATTGAGCACCGCAGTGAAAAACTGATGATGGTGGTAATTCTCTTTCTTAAAGACTCGAGCTATTAATTATTACCTAATAGAAATTCGAATTAAAGAGACCATTTATAACGTATGTACGTATCTCGAGGAACAAAAAATTTTCAAGTTAATCAAGTTCGACCGTATAATAAGTCGAATATTATCTAACACCTTCTTATTATACCCGTACAGGTACCGATGGATTCTGTTTTTATTTATTATCGAATTTTGTACACAAAAATGACATTCGTTGGAATTCACATCGTCTGTCTTCGACATTTATCAATAATGATTCGCGTAAACATTATTGATTGCAGAAGTTGAACATCATTTTTATCAGTCCATATTTAATGTAAACATTTTCTGCGCAGATTAAACAGTTAGAAAAATATTTGTTTAACATATTTATCTAAATATTTAAAAAGGAGCTACTGATTGTTAAAAATTTCCATTAAACATTCTTGATAATTTTCTTTATTTTACTCTTTCTGATTCAGTTATCTTTCGCCTCTACAAATCAGCGCACTGTTTTGACCAAAAGTCGTACACACTTTTCTTGCATAATGCTTATTAGATAATAACTGTTTGACTGGCTTATTAAAAATAATCAGTATTGTTGTGCACAATTTTCCTTGTATGCATTGGTACGTATAATGAAAATGATTTCCGAAAGTAATCCAACATGTACGGAAACTACTCCACTGCTCCCAGAAACGAAGGACCAAAACCGAAAATCGCAGGATGAAGGGTAAGAGAATTCTTTCATACTTAATAAGCGAATAAATGTTTTTGCACTTAGTTGTTAAATATTTAAACGTTTGCCTTGCACGATAAGTTTTAAAAACGTATCATAATAAGCATTTATTAATAGAGCAACAACAAAAGAACGTTTCAATTGTAATCAAACGCCGGTTATTATATTTGATAAGAATTACAATAAGCAGATGCAGTATAAAATCATAACTAAAGACTGCCGATTCAATTAATTCAATTAAAACAAAGACAACTGTGACAGTCAATAAATACAGTATCTCCTTGTGTTTTTTTGGACTTGAACAATTAAACATCATTTAATAAAACGTATCCAAACTGTTCTAGAAAATTCTGTCACAGCTAGCACTTAATCAATTAAATTACATTATATTGTGTTGTATGTTGTTACTTACGTACACACATAAGCAAAAACATTTATGCGTTTATCTGGTGGTGATATTCCATAAGGCATTTAGTCTACTAACAAATATCAAGATTAATTCGGTTCCTTATTGACCAATTATTGCGTACTATTACTATTATTATAAACTAAATAGTCCAAACAAGAAAAGTTTCAACAAATTAATACGCAGACGGCAAAAAATACATATGGTATTGACCACAACAAGTAAAGCCATAAATAAATAAACAAAAGATTACTGTTGTGGATTAAACTGTGCAATTGTTTCAGCGTTATCATTCTGTTATTACTCAACTCTTAAAAAGGACCGAAACAATTGTAGAGTTTACCCAACTCATAGTAAAAGTGACTGCAACAAGTAATTAAGAATCCTCTTTTTTAGTAAATGGAGGGTACCTTCGTTTCTTATCGTAAGAGTTGACTTTTTTATTGAGAAATTTCAGTAAACAATACGTCTGACATTTTCAAATTAACGATAAGAAGTAGTCTCATGAATATCTTCACCTACACTATGCATACAGTTTAAAAAAGAACGTGAAGTCGACGGCTTATTTTACACTTATGCATGTATTAATATCCTTTAATAAATTATTGCTAGGGTTATCGAAAACACTTGTTAATTTTCATTCGTTACCTAAACAAAGATGATTATTTTACGATTAACAATAACTAACACGACGGGGGACATAGTTTATGAACATGTAAATCAATATTTATTTTGTGTTGAATATGCCGTTTGTTTGTGGTAAAAACAATGGGCATTCAAAATAAATTCTTTAATAAAACTTATTATTATTATACGTGTAATCATTCTTAATTTTTCCAATACCTCTGGATCGATGAGAAAACACTGTAAATAAACGATTCAACAGGAATTTCTTCACTCGCAAAAGTACCTACTTTCAAAAAAATTTTACAAGGTAGGTTACCCTTTTGCGTAGGGCACGGAACTAAAAACTTTAGGAGTGAATTAAAATTGCTGTTGAACAATTTACTCGTTCGTTAGTTACCTAGTATTAATTGATTTAGAACAATAATTACAAGATTATCTGCAAAAAGAACACCCCGTAAACATAATAATAAAGTTCTGTGTAGGTACGTGCTTCGGAAAGTTGTTTTCATTATTTTTGCATTTCCCATGGAATTGACGGTTTCGCCATGGAGGCGCCGGCTTGTTGTACATAGGAACAACAGTACATGTATATATAACAATGTTCGTGTATAACATGAAAAAACGTATATGTATTTTAAATGAATAGAATACCGCTATGTATTTATACCCAATAAAGCTCTAGAGCCGTGGTTCGATTCTCAACTAAACTTGCGTACCTACGTATCTGTATAAATACACAAGCTTACTTGCAGCAAGCTTCACAGCGTCGTCAATAGCGCCAACATCGAGTACAAAATAAAGCCCACACTCTCACTCTGCCGAAAACGAAATTGTTTTTTCGAAAAAATTCCGAAACAACGCAAAAACCAGGGTTTATGTTTCTGCTTAATCTTTTTCGATTGTTTAAATTTTACGATTAGCGCAGTTTAAACCAATTACTATTTTCATTGATTTTTTAGCATTTGCCGGAGAGAATCGATACCTACATAAGTAAATAAGTATTATAAAACAAATAAGTAGGTACAAGAAAAAAAAACTAATTAGGTAGAGCGGCCGGTGTTTAAAAACAGTGCTGAAAAAGTAATTTGTGTAAAGTTCGGTTGAAACTTGTTCAATTTTGTGAAAAATTGTAAAAGATAATGAACACGAAACAAGAGAAAGTAACCGATGAGGTTAAACCTACTCTTGGGAATCTTCCAGAACAATACGAGTATGAGCCGAAAAGGTAAGTTTTAAAAATCAAAACTGTTACCTGTAGACCCATCAACATCTAGTTATGAATATATTTTATGGGTTTTTTGAACCCTTAATTTTTATTTTTAAGAATTATTTAATTGGTGTAAATCAAAAATAATTTTTAGAACATGGTCCGTAACGGAAATGAGCTCGAAAGAAATGCTTTTACGAAAAGGACTCAAGAATTTCGATAACAGGTAAACTATCCAACCTCCTTTCCTAATAAAATTGAATAAAAAAAGAAACTTTTTAAATGAGGAATGATGTAAAAACTGCATCTGCTTGTATTTTTCTTTTTAATACGTACCAGAAAGGAAAAACATTACAAAACAATAAAAAATTACGCGGCAAATAAAGCCTGGAATATTCGCTATAAGTTAAAAATGAAAAAATTCATCATCTCCGTCGAGATGTAGCGGTTTTTACGATTGCGTGGGTATTGCGATTTTATGATGCTTATTAGAATACGCAAATTATATTATTTTTAGAAAAAAAACCGACAACATTATAGCTTTGCGATTTTTTAAATTTTGGGAAAATATTACCGTCATAACGCTACTATTTAAAATACGTTCTCAAAAATCAACTTTTCCTTCACCTATGGAGACGCATCGTTCTAAAATGAAGTAAAAAGAAAACTGAATAACAATGGAAATTGTGTTTTTTTGCATTAATGCAGTCGTTTACGTTTGTTGATTGATTATCTATTTTGTAAATAATAGCAGTCGCGTGCCTTTATTAAACGATGTTTTACATGCACTGATATCACATTGCAAGCATCATATTCGTTTAATGTTTATACATACATACGTACTGTATGTCTTTCCGATGTAAGTACGTTACTGAAAGTAAAAGTGGCATTTTACAAAGCCGATTGAAGAAAAACGAAAATTGGCTGCACCTAATTACAAATGATCGTTATATTTATTTCTTTTACAAAATAAAACAAAGCTGATTTAGGGTATAAATTTTTTTTTATTTTATGTACCGGAGGACGAAAATCTGATATAGTTTTTTAAAAAGTTTGTACCCTAAATTTCGCACTGGGATAATAAGGACAACCAATGGATACCTTCCTTTTAATTTATCAATTTATTAGTAACGCAGATGCGACGCCCACGCGTCGTCTCGTTTCTTATCAATTTACAACTGCCTTAAAATGTTTTGCAAATGTATGTTGTTAATTAAGACGGCCGTAATAATTCATTAATTAAGACGCCCGCAATAATCCATATATTAATGATGTAATTATTTAAAACAATTTTAATAAAATGTGGTTGCTTAGTGGCATAAAAAACATCGTTCAATATTTGATTACTTTTTTAAAAAAAAGTACGTATGCAAATGATTAGGTAAACATCCCCCGTATATAATTTTATATCATGCATCCAAAGCGTGATTTCTTGTCATGTGATTTGAAAAATTTGCATAATAAATGTACATATGTATAATACGAAACCAATCGACTTTGAGCATATTCTCGCGCGTTTAAGGTCGCAAGGTATTTGACAATAATAATAAGTCACCGTCTGTTGCAAGCAATAACAGTGGCAATTAACAAAAACAACTTAAAAGGCAAAAGTAGCTTTTTTGTAGTAATGTTAATTTAATAAATGCTCATGGTAACCTATTCGGTGCATAAATTAATATGCAACTCAAATATGTGAATGCAAACACGTAGAGTAATATTGATATGTATAACATATCATATGAAAAACACCCTATAGCCCTAATTCGTAATGATTAATATTAAATACTTGCGATAACGGCCCACCCTTATTGCACGGCTCGCTTATCTAAACAGATAGGACGTACAAACAATTCAATAAGTATGTAAAATCATTCGACACTTGGAGGTTCTTTGAAGCCCTACCAATTGAATTCTTTATTTTAGAGATCTTTTATATCCTCACACCGGACAACCAGCTGCTTGGAAGCAAAGACTAAAGAACAAAGAAGTGAGAGTCAGTAGAAAATATCTCTATACAGCAGTCGCCGTCTGTAAGTTTATTGTCTAGTACGTAATTAAAGAAGGAATTTTTAACTGTAATCTCGGGATTGAGAAAAACCAAGTAAAAGAGGTAAATATGTACCTTTTTTTTCAGGTAATCTGTCATCAATTGCTTTGGGGATAACGTTAACCTGGTCTTCCCCGGTAATATCAAAGTTAAACGGAGAAGTAAAAACAGACGACAATCCCCTAGGTCGTCTCATAACTATCGACGAGGAGTCATGGATAGGGTCGTTGATAACTTTAGGAGCGGCTGCCGGTCCTTATACAGGCGGTCTCTTAGCAGATCGCATCGGACGCAGGAAAACATTGATTTTAACCGCCGGGGTACCATCACTAATATCGTTCATCATGTTAGCATTTGCTTCAGACATATACGTGTATTACATCGCTAGGTTTGTAGGGGGCATATCGATAGGTGCCATCTATTCAGTTCTGCCAAGTTACATAAGCGAAATTAGCGAGGACAAGAATCGGGGTGCCATGGGTTCCGTTATGAACGTGTTCATAACAGTTGGCCTGTGCTGGTCGTACGTGATTGGACCGTTCGTGACCATCCGGACCTTCAGTCTGATATGTGCCACGGTACCTGCCGTGTTCATTGTATGGTTTAGTTTTTTTCCAGAGAGCCCGTACCATTACGTGGCCGTTGATAAACCTGAAAAAGCCGAGGCGGCTCTCCAGAGGTTGAGGATGGCAACGGCGGACGACGTTCGAAAAGAAATGGAGCTCATTAAGGCGACCGTGGACGATTCGAAGAACAAGCAACTCGGTTTCGTAGATCTGTTTAAATCCAAAGGCCTTACAAAAGCTCTCATCATTTCGATGAGTCTGGTTGCTTTCCAGCAACTGTCTGGTATCAATGTGGTGCTGTTCTACACTCAAACAATTTTCGAAGCGACTGGATCGAGTATTTCCTCGGTTTTCTCGTCAATTATAATCGGAGGCGCTCAAATGATACCTAGCGCGATAACACCTTGCGTCGCTGATACTGCAGGTCGTAGGGCAACCCTGATGTTTTCTGCCATCGGTCAAATCATATCAGAAATACCTCTGGGTCTCTATTTTTATTTAAAACACTCTGGACATGACGTGAGCGCAATTTATTGGTTGCCCGTGGCCTGTCTCGTCGTTTATATAATCACCTTCAGGGTAGGTTTCGGTCCTTTGCCCTGGACCATAATGGCAGAAATTTTTCCGTCCAACGTCAAAACGGCCGCGTGTACTGCAACCGCAAGTTTTTGCTATATTTTGGCCTTCCTTATTACGCGATTTTTTCAAAATTTGACCGTCTATATCGGAATGGAAGGCGGTTTCTGGCTTTTCTCTGGTTTTTGTATTTTATCCGCCATATTTATCTACTTGTACGTGCCAGAAACAAAGAAAAAGAGTTTCCAAGAAATTCAACGCATTTTAAACGGCGAAAACTGAATAAAGTATAAGTGCATACCTACACAGATTCAGTAGCATAGGTGACTACTTTTTATCGTACTTTTGTGGTAACATTTATGATATGATCGTATGACATACCTACTTATGTACTTAGACGATTTTTCGCAAATCGCAGTATCTTACAGAAACGATTTGCAATTGCTCACTATTCCTTAATGCGTGACGACGATTGTGCTTGATGATAAGTTCCCTCAATAATAGTATGTGATAATAGTAAAGATCAAGAATCATTGTTTTCGAGCAATAATGGTAATTAAGTACAGTATTAAAACTTAGTTTAAGTCAAATCTTAGAAGGAAGTTGGGGAGGGGCAATATTTTCGATATTTAAGTTACCCGTATTTATTTTTCTAACGTTATTTATAAAAATATTATCAGTTTTCTTAGAAAGAACAAGTTCAAATACCCCGGTTAGGTAAGACTGATTAGAGTAAAAACAAAGTAAAATTCTCATTTTTAATTTAAAAGCAAAATAAAAATCTTTTTAATTAGCATACCATTAAATGTATTTAATTATGACGGTGTATCGCCATCGGTTTATATTGTATCAGTTTGCTCTTAAAACTTCTTCGAATCATGGAGACCGCTTTTAGCGTGTCAATGAGATCTAGTAAGATAGAAAACGCGGTCCGTGACGGGTAGTTTCGAAGAACGTTAGATAGTATTCTTATTAAGGGAATTTATGGTCGTGTTCACCTGGTTGTACTTATAATTATCTATACATATTTGTATAACAACACTACAAATCTAAAATATTATTTTAGTACATATGTTCCTGTTCATTGTAAAAAAAATTGACAAAAATTTAATCAAAATTAACCTGACTTCAGCTTGTGTACTTCCCCTAACCAACCTATAGGTATTTAGGGTTTCTTAATTTTTATGAAAGCCGAAACTGTGGGTACACGAGCTTTTCAATGTTCGAAAACTTGCCTCACACACACTTACCAAAGAGCGAAAAGTGATCTTGCCATGTTTTATAATTTACACGCGTAATCGTGTTATTCACGAAAATTTAAAAAACACGGACGTACATATAAATAAATAAAATTTCGATTNTCTTAACGTTATAACAAATTACAGGGGTACTTCCTCTAGTTATAATTCATATCTAACTTATGATTGTTTGTGTACGTTTTTTTCTCATAAAACGATAAGAAACAATCCGTCGCAGACTTTATTTCCCTCCTATTTGATGTATACGAATTTACACTGTATGTTGTCCTTTTATAAAACAATGATTCAATATTAACGTTTCCGATATCGCAAACCATTCAAGTATGTACACCCGACGTGTTTTTGGTATAATTTATTTAAATTTTTATTTGGTAGTAAAAAAATATGGTGCGCACTTTAAATAAAAAACAATAGATACCTAACATTTTGGTTGTAACTGATGTAATAAAGAAATATCCAGTTGTTTCTCGCCTTTCTCCGGACCTATACGTACATGTAAAAAAAAAACATGAAATTAACTAACGAAGAAAAACCTAGAAGATTGTATTAGTTCCTTACAACATTTGTAGGTAAGTTAATGTAGGTGTGATAAGTAATGAGTAACGTTAAACGAACAATTTAAGAATAAGTCACCTAAATTGCATTCATTCAGTATATATGTGTAAGTACATTTCACTGATTGTTTCAACCAAAATATGTAAAATTTTTGATTTGAAATTGCCGTCTTATCGTTTTCTGATGGGAGACACGATAGCACGCAAACGTTTAAGGCAGGAGCACGACATCCGCAATGTTAATATTTGGATACCCAAAAAATTGTTCACGAAACAAATAAACAAACCTACACGTACTTATATGATACGAGTTGCAACACTATTTTCAAATGAATTATAAGACCTTTTTTCAGGCAACTTGTCCTCGGTGGCATTGGGCATCACTCTTTCTTGGTCTTCGCCGGTTATATCAAAACTGAATGGAGAAGTTTCAACCGTTGATTTGCCATTGGGCCGACTGATAACAGACGAAGAGGAATCCTGGATTGGTTCCTTGGTGACTCTAGGAGCCGCTTCGGGTCCTTACATAGGCGCCTTTCTAGCCGATTCCATAGGTCGAAAGAAGACTCTTATATTTGCAGCGGGAATTCCCAGCTTCATTAGTTTCGTCATCTTAGCTTTCGCAACGAATTTGTACGTCTATTATTTCGCTAGGTATATAGGAGGACTTGCTATAGGAGCCATTTACACTGCGCTACCCAGTTATGTATCCGAAATATCGGAAGATGTTAACAGGGGTGCTACAGGATGCGCTATGAATATTTTTATCACATTAGGACTGATATGGTCGTACAGCATAGGCCCTTTCGTTTCGATAAGAACGTTTAGTTTGATTTGTGCCGTCGTTCCTCTAACGTTTATAATATTATTTTCATTTTTTCCTGAAAGTCCGTACCATTACGCGGCTAAAAACGATTTGGATAAAGCCCACAATGCATTAAGCAAAGTAAGAATGAAGACGATCGACGAAATAAAAGGCGAAATGAAAACGATAAAGGACACTGTTGACGGGCAAATGAAAGACAGAAAAGGCATCTGTGATTTATTCAAAACATACGGAAGTGTAAAAGCTCTTATTATTTGTATGAGCCTCGTAGCTTTCCAACAATTTTCCGGTATAAATGTGGTATTATTTTACACTCAAACAATTTTTGAAGCAACCGGAAGCAGCATATCTTCAATTTTATCTTCGTTCATAATTGGCTTAGTGCAGTTAATCCCCAGCGCAATTACGTCACTTATTGCGGACTCGTTGGGTCGCAAAGTCACCCTCTTATTTTCCGCTCTGGGCCAGATACTGTCCTTGTTTCCTTTAGGTCTTTACTTTTTTTTAAAAGAGAAAGGAAACAATGTGGAAGCTGTTTACTGGTTACCTGTTACGTGTCTTGTTATATACATTGTAACTTTTCGGGTTGGGTTCGGACCCTTGCCCTGGACCATAATGGCCGAGTTATTCCCACAGAATATAAAAACAGCGGCGTGTACGATTACCGGTTCCTTTTGCTACATTTTGGCCTTCGTTATAACCAAGTATTTCCAAACTGTCACATATTACATAGGAATGGGAGGGGGGTTTTGGATTTTCACTGGATTTTGCATCTCATCTTTTTTATTTATTTATTTTTACGTTCCGGAAACGAAACAAAAAAGTTTTTTAGAAATTCAAGATATATTACATGGACGTCATATAGGCAGAAGCAGATGTTAAAAATAACTCTAGTGAAATTTAGTTAGTCTAATTATAATAACCTACTTAATTAAAAAACTATTTGTTGAAATAAATTTAAAAGATATTCATGTACCTAGAATGTTTTGCTCCATGTGTATATTTACGAGTTTTTTATTTTGTTCATCGTACTTAACAACAGTTGTACGTGCTGAATTATAAAATAAACGATTAGACAGTAATCTAGTTAAAGTTAGAAATTAATGCGTGCACCTCCACAATGAAAATGCACCTATACAGAGATAGCCATTTACCTACATATGTTGAAAATTCCATTCATTCTTTTAATAGGAATTTGTGACAATTTATTCTAGAAACAGTAAAATTCTGATACATGTACCGTGATTATCCCTCGTTGTAGCCAATGATACCCCCAAATAAAATCAGTATAAGATAAATAAAGCAGAGTTGTCCAACTTTTGGCATCAGAAAAGAAGACTTATAATTTTCAGCGGTTCTAAAAACCCAGATGTCCTGGCTCCTGAACATAACTTTATTTTTCCGAACAGCTAAATAAAGAAAGTTGGTCACTTTTTTCCTAAAGTTTTCAAGTTTTATTACAACCCTCATACATAAACATGTTTAATACTTGAATTTATTATTTGACTCTTAAATCCTATACAGGAAAAATTTGAACTTATTCAACTTATAGGCCTCCTCCTCCCCTTATAGCCTTCCTAACCTCACCAACCAATGAGAATTTATTCATTATATTTTGAAACATCGTTAAATTCCTAAAATTAAAATATGTAATTGCTATAGACGATAAACATTAATTGCTTACTGAACATCTGCTGTATGTTTTAACAAGTATTAAACACGAAAAATGTGTCAACCGAGGCTTCTACTCACTTGCTGCCGAAATCAAAACAAGTAAGTGCCTAACTTGAAAACTTTTGGAAGTTTTACTCGGAAATTATTATCTATAAAGTATTTTAATACTGATATATAACACCCAACTCGTTAACTAATTTTTGCTTATAAAAAATACTTTTATAAAATCTATTTAAATTATTCGCTAAATTATTTGGAAACCTTACTTTATGACTCAACGTTCTCTATTATTTCTTAATACAAAAACTTTTCTTAATTGCCATAGATAATTTATTTCTTTTAGCTTCTTATTATTTCAGGGAAATGCGAAGATTACCTTAGGATTGGAAAAAGTTGAAGGGCGTGACCAATCAACACATTTATTTATTCCTAATCCTCACATTGACATCATCAAGCTTTAGGTCATTTTCCCAACTGGTAATTACACAACACACAATCAATCGAGCCTCAATATGGATGTCAATCTATCTTCCTTCTCTCTGAAACAGAAACTCCTGCGACGGTAGTGGTAATGGCATACATGGGACTTACAAATCTATGGTTCTCTTGATAAATTTACATTTTAAAACCCTGACAAACACGACGCAATTATGAACAAAAGTTCAGAGTAGTGAAATATTCCACCGTACCTACATCCCCAACTCCTCCTGGTTGGCTGAGAACCCTCCACCACCCCTGCAAACTCATCAACTGTTCTGCGGGCCTCAAAATGTCTTTTCATACCAGTGAAGTGGATGCCAAGAGAAAAGGTCAATTAAAAAGAATTAAAAACACCCAATGGGGGAACGAGGCATCCAAACTGTTTGTGGCGTTTCATGAGCAGTAATATAGTCCGGTTGCGTCATATTTGGGACTTGTTTACCAACGAATTGTGGTATGTTGAAGTCCTTTCTAACACCCTTGAAGTCTTTGGAACTTTTGCCGATTACTCTCGGACATTTTGGGACCTTTATGAAGAAAATACAATTGCCAACCAACGTCAAACACGACGCAATTATGAACAACAGTTCAGAATAGTGAAATATTCCACCGTACCTACATCACCAACTCCTCCTAGTGCGTTGAGTCCCTCCACCACCCCCGCAAACTCATCAACTGTTTTGCGGGCCTCAACGTGTTTTTCGTACCTGTGAAATGGATGTTCAGACAAAAGGTTAGTTAAAAAGAATTAAAAACACCCAGTGGGTGAAGCAAGCAACCAAACGGCTTAAGGCGTCCCACCGGCTATAATATAACTTGGTGGCAGCATATGTAAACCAATGTAATGTTTTGGTTTGTTGATGTCCTCTTTAACATCCCTGTAATCTTTTGAACGGTTTATTTGTCGATTACTTCGACATTTCGGCTTAGCGTCCGAAGGACTATTGGGTAACAGAGTTATCTCCTTCAGAGACTGAAAAGAACTTAAAACTACAGAATCAAATTAAATTAGAGTAAACAGTGATTCCAATAATGTTTGAAATCATAATCGTACAGCTCCATGTTTTTGTTTCCTTCTGGTTCCTAAAACATACTATCAAACATGTCCTGCACAAAGGCACATTACTTCTTGTGCTTATATAGACCTGGTGTCTCTGCTGACACTAGCCTTCTTCCTATTAGCACCAACACCAAAATAAAAACCTCAACATACATAATAGGTAGGAATTTATCTTCGACGTGCTATTTTTTTACCCTCCTCGTCCCGATCATCTAAACTGTAATCGTACAACTCCAGGGATCTATTCTATTCTATTTGCTTCCTGTTCCTAAAACATACTCTCAAACGTGTACCTGTACATGCCCGAAGGCACATTTATTGACCTGGTGTCTCTGCGGACACTAATCTTCTTCCTATTAACACTAACACCAACCCGCATTTCACTCGATCCGAAAACGACACGAAAAATGAAAAGGGAAAACCACTAACAAAACATTTGGGTGTAGTGGGTTTCGCTTGCCATTGCGCTAAAAGTCTCATTGGGATGGATAGCAAATACCGCAAAAAATTGACCCTCCGCCAAGTTTGTATTGAACTGAGCAGACTGTTGCCTCCAAGACTGATACCTATCATTATGATTTTCTAACGAAGAAGAGTGGAGATAACGAAGTCGAGACAACAGAACCACGACAATATTAAAAGGAGATATTTATGGTTTTCAAGAGGATGGAGAACAAACATTTTCATCAAACAACGAACACCCCAACTAAACAATAACGTGACGGATACACTTCGATCGCGATGTTAACGATATGTGTGATCATGTTTGGTTGTTTTAATCGATCGATGTTCTTCTTTCTCTTCTCAAGCGAGAAGAGAAAGATTGACCCACGGAAACCTGAAAAAGAAAATAGGTAAAATTGTTAGTATCATCGTTTAAAAAGATATTTGGTTGGATGTAAAGTACTTCACTTACCGGTCATGCTGAAACAGAATCGAAGATACAAGATTAGTAAAAGGTAAAACATATAATATATTATTGATACCCCACCCACTGATAGGGTGGTAGTACGTACTTACTTCATTACCAACATACTTATATTCCCACTCCTTGATTTTAAGCTTAACGAAATTTATGTAGGCACCCAGTGATAAAATTCGAAAGTTATGTATTTCTAATTTGTGACATGTATATTTGCTTTGAAAGAACTAAGATTTTAGATGTGCAGCAGTAAAATAAATGAAATTTCGTAATTGAAAAAAAACATTAAAACGACAAAATGTAAATTGAGAATGGAATATGAAAAGAAATCCTGTGTGCCGTTAAGCATTGTAAATGTGGTGGCAACAGTGGCGTAATTCGTGTTGGACGAGAACGACATTATGTAATAGTCGAAATTGTGGTAAGCCGAAGACGATCGCTTTTTAATACTATGAATGAATACGATGAATAAAAAAGAAACCTTGCTTGCTTGGTTTATATGTTTCACTAAATTATTTTTTAGATTTCACTCTAAAATATCCATCGTCAAAGTGCTAATAACTCCAGTTGAGAATATTAACTCTTTGATGATATCATTACAGCCGAAATACACGTTAGAGAAAAATCCATAAAAGTGTTTCTTTTTTATTCATCATCATAGAAATCAAGTACCTAAATTAAAAATTAGTAATCACTCCTACATGCCCATTGGACGAACGCTTATTACCTGGCTGGCTACCTGTAGGTAGGTACTCGAGCGCAAAAGAAAAAAATAAATAGTAAATTTGGAAAATAGTACCTACAATTAACATTTAATTATGGCAATTGAATTGAAGTTAAAAATTAAAAATTAAATCAAAAAACTTGGGACTTTCACTTAAAACTTTATTAAAACCTCGATACGTATCTTCAGGAGTAACAAAAACTATACTAATTAACAAACAGGAAATAAATTAATTTATAGAGATTTATTCCTAAGAGGGTGGGTGGGGGTTGAACAATGTTTGGGTCTAATATATAAATTAATTTATTTACTGTTTGTTAATTAGTATGGTTTTTGTTACTCCTTTTTTGACTTAATTTTTAATTTTCAATCATGTTTCACCAAGTGATAACGGCAGATACCCTGAATTGAAGTTTTAAAAATTTACTAAATTAAGGAGAAGATGAATAATACGATTTTTTCCTTTCGAAAAATTTTCACCTATATTTATGCGGTAGATGAGACGTTATTCATTTTCCCCTTAATTTCAAATTAAAATTTCACAAAATATCAAATGAGTTATTAAAAACGAACAATTTACTGGCAACATTAAAAATTTAATGAATTTAAATAAATTGGAATTGGCGCCAACCTTAAACCGATTCGCGAGCCGCCGCCACTGTTATGCCAGAAGAAGGTATAGGTAATGCACTATACCTTGACGCGCAACACTTTTCGCTGTCTTCCTCCTTCCTCACTACACTATTGTAAATACACTAGCTGAAAAAATATCAAATAGACCCAATGAGTGACAAGTAAACATACACATAAAATAAAAGTGTAAATAATATTATTTATGGTATATGTAGGTGTACGTGGAACCAAACCCCGAAAAGACAGCGTGGACAAAACACCATGTATGTAGGTATGCATTGAAATAAGGTAATCACAATTTTAAATGTTCTCCGTGTCCTAACGTCACATCCCTAAAAAGCAACAATAAATACGGTAGGTAGGTATGTCTTGTAGATAATAATACGGCGTAAAGGACCTAAGGCAGCAACTAATAATCACATAAGTAATCCAAGTATTAAGAATCAAAGTTTGACGTAATACAGGCGCCGTGCCTGCACACGTCGGTCCCTAGCACGCGGAGCGACTCAATTGGATAATATGGCAATGGACCACCAGAGGAGCCCAATAATACGCTAACTTACCGTTTGTAAGCCACCTTATTGGGTGCAAAAATCAAATTAGCCCCAAAGTAATAAAAATCAAAAAATACAAATACAAATGGAAATATAAAAACTTGCACTCGGGTCTATTTGAAACAATATTCATTAGTGACTTACTTTTAGGCGTCGGCTAGACCTCAGTAGGGTTCACCGAAACCTTAATCTATCCAGCGTCGGATGTCCACGGTCCTCATCCTCTCCGTGATGAATGATGGTGGTGGATGGTAGGGAGGGTAGGTAGGTAGGTAGGTAGGTAGGAAGGTGCCAGAGACTGAGCGGAGGGGAAATCCATCGAGTAAGCCATTCTATCACTGTCATTATCACATACCAAATGTTCACGAAAGTAACAACACTGAAACACGCACACTTACGAATCGAACACGTAACAAACTAGGATGAATCTGAAACAAAAGAAAAAAAGAATTAATGATACTGCAATTTGAATAGGTTTTCGTTAAAATAAACCTTGTCCAAGCTATTTATTTTTGGGTGCTAACGATACATACAAAACAATACTTTACTAAAATAACATAAAGGATAAACTAAGTACTCACCCTTGTAACTTCGAGGCCTCTACCATCTCCGAAATAGGGATAATTTGGTTTCTTGGGGACAGCAACGTATCGATTTATTCGTAATTCTCACATTGGTATTAACACGCTTTTGGTAACATTCCCAAACTGCTCATTATAGGTACAACAAAACATCAAATGAGCCTCAATATGGATGTCAATATGTCTCTCAATCTAAAACAGAAAATTGCAACTGTGAAAACCGAAAAACGCCCAGTGGGTGAAGAAGGTAGTCTTACCTTTGTCATAATTCCTCCTACTCATCGATATAAACCTTATCATCTTTCAAACTGCTGGAAGTATTCCTAGGAAGGTAATATACATTGGACTTGTCAATCAGTGGTTTTCTTGTTAACTCTACATTTTAGAACCCTGACAAACACGACGCAATTATGAACAAAAGTTCGGAGTAGTGAAATGTTCCACCGTACCTACATCCCCAACAATCCTCCTGGTTGGTTGAGAACCCCCCACCACCCCCGCAAACTCATCAACTGTTTTGCGGGCCTCAACACATTCTCTCATAATTCCACGTTCGATTCTGGATGAAGAGGTTGCAATTAGAAACAATTAGGAACACGCACCGGTGAATGAAGAAGGTAGTAGTACCTTTCTCATAATTCATCCCATTCATTGAAGTAAACCTGATCATCCTCCCAACTGGTGGAGACACTCCTGGGACGGTAGTGGTAATGGCATACATGGGACTTACAAATCGATGATTTTCTTGATAACTCTACATTTTAGAACCCTGACAAACACGACGTAATTATGAACAAAAGTTCGGAGTAGTGAAATGTTCCACCGTACCTACATCCCCAACACTCCTCCTGGTTGGTTGAGAACCCCCCACCACCCCCGCAAACTCATCAACTGTTTTGCGGGCCTCAACACATTCTCTCATAATTCCACGTTCGATTCTGGATGAAGAGGTTGCAATTAGAAACAATTAGGAACACCCACCAGTGAATGAAGAAGGTAGTAGTACCTTTCTCATAATTCATCCCATTTATTGAAGTAAACCTGGTCATCGTCCCAACTGGTGGAGACACTCCTGGGACGGTAGTGGTAATGGCATACATGGGACTTACAAAACGATGGTTTTCTTGATAACTCTACATTTTAGAACCCTGACAAACACGACGTACCTACATCACCAACTCCTCCTAGTGCGTTGAGACCCTCCACCACCCCCGCAAACTCATCAACTGTTTTGCGGGCCTCAACATGTCTTTCGTACCTGTGAAATGGATGCTAAGACAAAAGGTTAGTTAAAAAGAAATAAAAACACCCAGTGGGTGAAGCAAGCAACCAAACGGCTTAATGCGTCCCACCGGCTGTAATATAACTTGGTATTGGTACTTTATCGCCAAATACAAACCATATCTATACCTATGTACCATGTTTCTGAAATACAAACAGCTCAAGCCCTAACGTCAACATATGATGCTTAGCGTCCGAAGGACTATTCGGTAACAGGGTTACCTCGTGCGGGGACTGAAAAGAACTTAAAGCAAAAGACACAAAATAAATTAGAGTTAACAGCGACTCCAATAATGTTGGAAATCATAATCGTACAGCTCCATGTTTTTGTTTCCTTCTGGTTCCTAAAACATACTATCAAACATGTCCTGCACAAAGGCACATTACTTCTTGCGCTTATATAGACCTGGTGTCTCTGCTGACACTAGCCTTCTTCCTATTAGCACTTACACCAAAATCAAAACCCCAACATACATAATAGGTAGGAATTTATCTTCGACGTGCTATTTTTTTACCCTCCTCGTCCCGATCATCTAAACTGTAATCGTACAACTTTAGGGATCTATTCTATTTGCGTCCTGTTCCTAAAACATACTCTCAAACGTGTACCTGTACATGCCCGAAGGCACATTTTACCCATTCTGTTTATTTACCCGATGGTGTCTCTGCGGACACCAATCTTAATCTTCTTCCTATTAACACTAACACCAACCCGCATTTCACTCGATCCAAAAACGACACGAAAAATGAAAAGGGAAAACCACTAACGAAACATTTGGGTGTAGTGGGTTTCGCTTGCCATTGCGCTAAAAGTCTCATTGGGATGGATCGCAAATACCGCAAAAAATTGACCCTCCACCAAGTTTGTATTGAACTGAGCAGACTGTTGCCTCCAAGACAGATACTTATCAATCATTATGATTTTCTAACGAAGAAGAGTGGAGAAAACGAAGTCGAGACAACAGAACCACGACAATATTAAAAGGAGATATTTATAGTTTTTAAGTGGATGGAGAACAAACATTTTCATCAAACAACGAACACCCCAACTAAACAATAACGTGACGGATACACTTCGATCGCGATGTTAACGATATGTGTGATCATGTTTGGTTGTTTTAATCGATCGATGTTCTTCTTTCTCTTCCCAAGCGAGAAGAGAAAGATTGACCCACGGAAACCTGAAAAAGAAAATAGGTAAAATTGTTAGTATCATCGTTTAAAAAGATATTTGGTTGGATGTAAAGTACTTCACTTACCGGTCATGCTGAAACAGAATCGAAGATACAAGATTAGTAAAAGGTAAAACATATAATATATTATTGATACCCCACCCACTGATAGGGTGGTAGTACGTACTTACTTCATTACCAACATACTTATATTCCCACTCCTTGATTTTAAGCTTAACGAAATTTATGTAGGCACCCAGTGATAAAATTCGAAAGTTATGTATTTCTAATTTGTGACATGTATATTTGCTTTGAAAGAACTAAGATTTTAGATGTGCAGCAGTAAAATAAATGAAATTTCGTAATTGAAAAAAAACATTAAAACGACAAAATGTAAATTGAGAATGGAATATGAAAAGAAATCCTGTGTGCCGTTAAGCATTGTAAATGTGGTGGCAACAGTGGCGTAATTCGTGTTGGACGAGAACGACATTATGTAATAGTCGAAATTGTGGTAAGCCGAAGACGATCGCTTTTTAATACTATGAATGAATACGATGAATAAAAAAGAAACCTTGCTTGCTTGGTTTATATGTTTCACTAAATTATTTTTTAGATTTCACTCTAAAATATCCATCGTCAAAGTGCTAATAACTCCAGTTGAGAATATTAACTCTTTGATGATATCATTACAGCCGAAATACACGTTAGAGAAAAATCCATAAAAGTGTTTCTTTTTTATTCATCATCATAGAAATCAAGTACCTAAATTAAAAATTAGTAATCACTCCTACATGCCCATTGGACGAACGCTTATTACCTGGCTGGCTACCTGTAGGTAGGTACTCGAGCGCAAAAGAAAAAAATAAATAGTAAATTTGGAAAATAGTACCTACAATTAACATTTAATTATGGCAATTGAATTGAAGTTAAAAATTAAAAATTAAATCAAAAAACTTGGGACTTTCACTTAAAACTTTATTAAAACCTCGATACGTATCTTCAGGAGTAACAAAAACTATACTAATTAACAAACAGGAAATAAATTAATTTATAGAGATTTATTCCTAAGAGGGTGGGTGGGGGTTGAACAATGTTTGGGTCTAATATATAAATTAATTTATTTACTGTTTGTTAATTAGTATGGTTTTTGTTACTCCTTTTTTGACTTAATTTTTAATTTTCAATCATGTTTCACCAAGTGATAACGGCAGATACCCTGAATTGAAGTTTTAAAAATTTACTAAATTAAGGAGAAGATGAATAATACGATTTTTTCCTTTCGAAAAATTTTCACCTATATTTATGCGGTAGATGAGACGTTATTCATTTTCCCCTTAATTTCAAATTAAAATTTCACAAAATATCAAATGAGTTATTAAAAACGAACAATTTACTGGCAACATTAAAAATTTAATGAATTTAAATAAATTGGAATTGGCGCCAACCTTAAACCGATTCGCGAGCCGCCGCCACTGTTATGCCAGAAGAAGGTATAGGTAATGCACTATACCTTGACGCGCAACACTTTTCGCTGTCTTCCTCCTTCCTCACTACACTATTGTAAATACACTAGCTGAAAAAATATCAAATAGACCCAATGAGTGACAAGTAAACATACACATAAAATAAAAGTGTAAATAATATTATTTATGGTATATGTAGGTGTACGTGGAACCAAACCCCGAAAAGACAGCGTGGACAAAACACCATGTATGTAGGTATGCATTGAAATAAGGTAATCACAATTTTAAATGTTCTCCGTGTCCTAACGTCACATCCCTAAAAAGCAACAATAAATACGGTAGGTAGGTATGTCTTGTAGATAATAATACGGCGTAAAGGACCTAAGGCAGCAACTAATAATCACATAAGTAATCCAAGTATTAAGAATCAAAGTTTGACGTAATACAGGCGCCGTGCCTGCACACGTCGGTCCCTAGCACGCGGAGCGACTCAATTGGATAATATGGCAATGGACCACCAGAGGAGCCCAATAATACGCTAACTTACCGTTTGTAAGCCACCTTATTGGGTGCAAAAATCAAATTAGCCCCAAAGTAATAAAAATCAAAAAATACAAATACAAATGGAAATATAAAAACTTGCACTCGGGTCTATTTGAAACAATATTCATTAGTGACTTACTTTTAGGCGTCGGCTAGACCTCAGTAGGGTTCACCGAAACCTTAATCTATCCAGCGTCGGATGTCCACGATCCTCATCCTCTCCGTGATGAATGATGGTGGTGGATGGTAGGGTAGGTAGGTAAGGTAGGAAGGTGCCAGAGACTGAGCGGAGGGGAAATCCATCGAGTAAGCCATTCTATCACTGTCATTATCACATACCAAATCTTCACGAAAGTATCAACATGACGTACGGACAAATTCGATTCCAATACATAACAGTTCCGTTTTTGAATTATCTTCTTGGTCTTCATATATAGATGCAACTGTAACTCTGTAATAAATAAAATCAGTTTTAAATAACAAAACGAAACAAACTCCCCAATAATGCTTATATTAGAGGCATTTATACATCATTTCAATTATTTTCGGTAAATAGTCAATTAATGTGTGAATTGAGAATGTTTGAAAAATTAGTGGAACCCAATGCATATAATTGGGAATACCCTGTATCTAAAGTGACGGTAGTGGCCTCTGTGCATTACAAATATAACTTAGTTAGCGGTATGAGTCAGAGCGCGAACCATAAAGTTTTGCAAGAGTCGTGAGGAAGTAACGTCAGATGGCGCCAATTCATCTGTAAACCCCTTGCTAAGCCCCACATCGACGGGGGGTTGCGGATGTATGACGTGAATAATGAACGACCTTCGAACGGTAAAATCGTTAGTCAGTCATGTTGGTTGGTGTACGTGCTGAAATAAGTAATGTTGTGTTGTGTCGCAAAAAGTTGTTAGAAACAAAAAAGTATTCCAATTTTCGAAAATTATTTTGTGCAGCTTTTGTAAGTATTCATTTGACTTAATTTACTTAGAAACTACTTTCTGAGTTCTGATATTGAATATGTTGTTGAGGCATGTAGGCGTTGCTTACAGGCATCTTGTATTGTGTGTTCTCCATAAAATTGATACTAATTCCTTTTAGTTTATTATGGAACGAATTTGTCTGTACGCCACGGCTGAAATCATGTCGAAATGTGGTCATGGACGCTATGAAGAATGTTTAAAGAACAAGTGTTAGCATATAAATTCTACATTAGTGAGTTTATTTGTTATTTAAGGGGAATAAGTATAGTGGTGTTGCATGGGAAATTCACGAAAAAAGTGCTTGTTCGGGTAGATTACATATTTGTTTTTTTAATACAAAGCCAAAATTTTAAGAGCCGTTATTTCCATTAATAATCCAATATATTAATATTAATTAATAGTCGAAGTATTTTTTAAATTACATTNCCAATGGAAATTTTGGTTTACATTGATAGGTTATTTTTTTAAACAAAGAAATACATAATGACTACCTAATTTGTTTTATGTTTCTTTAAAATGTTCAGGTAATTGTTTTGTTTAAAGATTTAAATTTGAAAGTGACTTTTTTTTAAATGTGTATTAATTTTTTTAAGGTAAGTGTATAGCATTAAATTATGAATAATAGGTACAAATAAAGGTCAATGTTTGTTGTAGGTTTACATTTTTTATTAGGTAATTTGCATAGCATTAAAAAACCAAGCTTTTACCTAAATAGATATTTCTGGCATTGGATTAAAATTTAAATTATTTCTGTAATTAATGTGAAATTTATTGCAGGTCCACTATTTTTAAAAACACACATTAAATTCCCGTGTAATAATCAATCCTGTAAAAAATAAGGCCTGACCAGACATCATGGAAAATGTTGATGCCTAATTATTACATTTAGTTTTAAAAATTAAAGTAGTTTGTGTCACATTAACTCTACTCATTAATTTTCCATAATGGAATGGTCAAGGGGAAAAAAACAACAATTTGTTCTGTTATGTTTAAGATAAAATAATCAAAATAACAGCAGCAAACTATTGTTATTATTATAATAATTAATAAATCCTACCTTTTGTTGAAATCTTGCCAAGTCCATAATAATTTGGGAATCCCCTTTTTGGTTCATTAGATATCAATCGTGTGTCATTCTGAACTTAATGTTATTGCAAAAAATAGTCAAACATTGCTATTTTACATTATAGAAGGAGAGACCAAGGGATCACTAGCTTATTAAAATATCATCAACCATTTCCTGTAAAGAGAAGTGCGAAAATGTAAAAAGTAGTTTCTGTTTGATAAGTTTAGCCAAAGTGAATTAAATTGGAACACTATTAGTTTGAAAATTAAACGAAACAAATGCTAACAAAGACACATTAACATTATTTAAAATGATTAACAATAAATGCTCTCTCTTTTCCAGGTAGCAAACTTCCAGAGTACTAATTGGTCAAAACAACCCTCCGATCAAGTTGATTGCTAACCGACAGCAACAAAGACCAACACTTAAAGTTGTGGTAAATAAAACCAAAAAATTAAAATCAATTTAGAAAAGCAGGAAGCTTTCCAAATTGATAATAACTGGCTAAGTCTAATTGAGTGAATGTTTCGCTTCCTTCACATTTCATTTAAAGGTTATGATTATTCATTTGTTTTAAGACAAAAAATAAACAAATGAAACTATCATAAAACAGGTGACTACCAGAAACATTTAAACAAGCGGTTTAATTATTTTATTGCAAAAACAGTCCATTAATTAAGTTCAAAACAATCCTACCTTTCGATCCAAGTCGAACCTGTCCATTTTGGTAAAAGAACCTTTTTTTATCCAAAAAATGATGTATGTTTCTAAACATCACTCGTAATGTTGTTAAAATGGTTCAGACAATGTAGTACAACGACTTAATACTAATAAAAAGGGGGCCCAAACCACTTTCAATTTTCTTGTATCTCGTAAAGATATTTTCTGAAAGTACAAAAACGACTTAATTCACGTCAAAATATCGTAAAAAGTCGATTGTTTAACAAATTTGGTCAAATCATACGAAATCATCGCATTTTTTAAAGAAAATTTGAGAAATAGCTCGTTGTTAATTTGGGGTGGTACTATCAAAATACCAAGAAAAGAGGTTAATGCTCGGAAAAACTAATACGCACATCGTATTCTGCTATATTTAATGATAAGTTTCCGACAATTGCATTAGTTCCAGCAAAAATTTTTAATTAAGAATATTTAATTTCTTACCTGCCGAAAACACGCTTCGTTTCGCGGAATTGTTATATTGTAAATGGCGCACGCGTCAGTGAGTGCCACTACATGCTCCGAAATTGCATTAGTAATTTCTACGCACGCTGTTTTTGATGTGATTTCTTGGTACTAAATAAAAATTGAATGCGATCTTTTTTTTTTTATCAAAATTAGACGAAATAAAATAGAATCGGTTCAAATATTTGCTATTTATTAACATTGTTTCGATGTATTTACTTAAACAACATACGATTTGTTTTGTTAAAAAACTTAGTACCTAAAGGTACATTGCAAAACACTTCGAATGTTTATTAATGCAAACGATAATATATTTAGGTACAAAAATAAATAAACTTCCCTTAAAGGAGCAAGGCTTATTTATAATTATACCGACTTATATTACCTTTGCGGTTTGCTTTAAAAAATTCGATTTTTTTTACGTAGGCATTGAAAGCATTAATTCTAATAAAGCCACGAAATTTTGATTTTTTTAAATCGACTTTTTAATTAAGGTGAATTATGGTGAAAAGATTGCCCTCTAAATACTCTTTGCGAATATGTTGTATTCGGAAAGGGAATTCAAAAGGCAATTACTTTAATCTGCTACACCTTTTATAAAAAGTCGATTTAAAAAAATAAGAATTTCGCGTTAATGTTAAACTTACACAATAATAAAATAAATTAATTAATACAAATGTATGAAATAATAAAAGACCAACCAAGTGGGCAAGTCAGAATCAATTAAGAAGAACAAAAGAGGTTTCCTTAATTGATTACTATACAATTATCTTTTATATTATAAAAGAGGAACTGCCATTGGAAGTCACTTGTTTTATACTTAATGTAGAAGGACAGCCACCATGGTTTCTCGGTAAGAATGAGACATGTTTATATGTCTATGTCGCAGGTACGAAGAAAAATTAAGCATTTTATAAGAAATTTGACTTAAATTAAAACAAATGACCAAAAGCACACAACGTTCCTCGAATCCTTCGAAATATCTAACATATGCAGTTCTAAATTGAAATTTTTGAGGACTTCGAAGTAGGTGAGTGGCTTTGGTCAGTTGTCTTGAGTAAGTTAAAGTTGCGATTAGACACAGCTGCTCATTGAGCAGTTTCATTTGTTAATAACTTCAAGGGGAAATTATTAACAAGTGAAAGTTCAAAACCAAACGCAAAAGACACTAAAAGTCTCTTTTTACTTTCTAGATTGCAAAGGTGTGCTGTATGCGCCCCAAACCACCCCAACCAAGACAGTTGTTAACCGATTGTGAAGAAGACTTACACTTACAGTTAATGGTAAATAAAACCAATCATGATTAATTTAAAAAAGCAAGAGGCTTAGTAAATCGATCATAACCGGTTAAATTTCATTTGCTGGAAGTTTGGCTTCTTTCAAAGTTCATTTAATTCAATGTAATTATTCATTTGTTTAAAGACAAAAAAGTCAAAAACAAATGAATTGTTATAAAACAAGTGACTACAAGAAACATTTTAATAAACAGTTCAATTATTTTGCTGCTACAACAGCCCATCAGGCAAATTGAAATAATCCTACCTTTCGCAGAACATGTCCATTTGTCCATGTTGTTCGAAGAGCCTATTTTCACCATAAAAGCAACCCTCTGCTATCATCCAAAATTATTTAATTGATTGTAGTAGAACGATTTAATGATATTAAAGCTGGGGGCCTAAGCCACCATTAATTTTTTGATATCTTATAAAAACCATTTTCTGTAAATAAATACGAAAACGTCTTAATTCGCGTCAAGTTATTGTAAAACATCGATTATTTAACAATTTCGGCCGAATCATACGAAATAATCGTATTTTTTATGAAAAAAGCCGTATAGAAATAACGCATTGTTACATTGAGGTGGTACTATCAAAATACCAAGAAAAATAATTAATGGCCGCAAAAACTGATACGCACATCGTATTCTGCTATATTTGATTATAAGATTTCGACAATTGCATTAGTTCTAGCAGAAATTTTTAATCAAGAAGATTTAATTTCTTACCTAAGATAAGCAGAGACCACGCATCTCGGCCATTGTTGAGCGAAAAATGGCTGCTGCCAACTACAGGCGGAAACCGAGAACTACGTATTTCTAAGCCGTCTTAGTTTTATGTATGGCTGCTTTTTATTGAAAATTGACGAACGCATGTTTTACGATTTACGTTTTGAATTACATGAAAAGCAATTTATTTATTAAATGCTTTTCGAGCGACTTGTCAGGTATTAAATTAAAACAAAATTAAATAATCCAAATACTTAGTAATTAATAAAAAAACATTTTAAGACAATTTAAAACGTTTAGCAATTAATCGTAGATGTTTCAACGTAAAAATGGATAAAGTTTGTTCTTTTGTGTGTTGGATTATTTACAGGGCGTAAACTATTTGGTACACAGAAGAACAAAGTTTATTTATGCAGAAATTTTTTGCTAAACTTTTAAAAGTTAGTCTTTTTGTTTAATGTTCGTACAAATCGAATCAAACGTGTTTAGTAAACAATTAAAAAATAAATTAATTGAATGAATAGGTGCACAATTTGTAAAGCTCAGTATTGGTTTTATATGTTTTATTCTTACTGCTGGCTTTAATTTTCTTTTTTGTTATAATGTTAAATGATTTCATATAAAATCAATGCTTTGTATGCTTTTGATAAATTAATAAAAAATAAATTAATTAACACTAATGTCAGAAGTAAAAGACAAACCAACGAAGCCAAAATCAGTTAAGAATAGCAAAAGAGACTGGTTTTAATTGATTATGATTTATAATACAACTGTTTTCAATTATCTGCATTGGAAGTCACTTGTTTTATACATAATATAGAAAACAACCGCTATCGTCTAATCATCAAATGTTTCTCAAAAGAAATAATATAAAACACAATTAGTCCTTTATTTCATATATTACAATAATTTATGCAATTGTTACCTCACTCATCATCTCCTCATGAATTAATTAAATTTCAGAGTTTAAATGTTTCCTTTATAAAACAATACCTATGTAACGATAGGTTGCGAGATTGAAGCTGATGGAGTGAAATATTTGCGTGTATTTGTTAGACTGAAGATTATGAAGATGACTTAAATGTATTTGCGAGACTAGATTTGGTGGAGAAGACTTCTAGTCTCGCAAATAGACATCCAGCTGATCCTTGCATCAACGAGAGGCAAGGACCTGGATGACACCGCTGCAAAATTAATAACCATTGGTAGGAGGCGACTGAAATGTTGACTAATCGTTATTATTTATTAAGAGTAGTACATTAAAACACAATTAGAAAGTTATGCACTAGATGATGCCCTTTGGAATGAATACCATGGTTTTTAGATCTTCGTTGTTACACCAATTCATCCTGGCACCTTCTTGGTTCCTTCATAACGAAATAAACACACTTCCAACAATAATATGATAAATATTTCAAACCAAACCCAAAACTCTTTACACTATTCGTATAACACTACTTTTTTTAATAATTTTCCTTTAAAAGCAGTGCACATGCAAAAGACACTAATGAAAAGTGTTTTTTTCTAGGTCCCATAACATTTACAACATAGCAAGCAGTTATTGCCCTGAACGACCCCAAACCCAAGATGATTGCGAAGAAGACCAATGCTTAAAGTTATGGTAAATAAAACCAACCAATTAAAGTTAATGTTAAGAAGCAAGAAGCTGTCTAAATCGAAAATAATTGGTTAGGCTTCATTTGTAGAAAGTTTGGCTTCTTTTACAGTTTTTTAAAACAATTGTAATTGTTCAATTGTTTCAAGATAAAAAAATGAAAGTGTAGTAAAACAAGTGACTACCAGAAACACCTCAATAAGCAATTCAGTTATTTAATCACAAAAACAACCTATTAATAATGTTCAAACAAATCCTACCTTTCGATCCAAGCAGAATCTGTCTATATTGGTCGAAGAGCCTTATTTTCACCATAAAACCATTGCAGTCCCCAGAATTGACATAAATATTGTTAAAATGGCTCAACCATTGTATTAAAACAATTTACAGATGAGGGTCCAAAGCAGCAACAATCTTTTGATATCTTGTAACAACCATTTTCTGAAAAAGATACGATAATGTGTTAATTCCAAGCAAAATGTTGTAAATAGTCATTTGTTTTCAACAAATTCTATTAAACCATATGATATCAAGAGGCAGTGGTTTTTGCAACTGATTATACTGTTATTAGGCCATTGCTTAACAATTTTGTATATGAAACCCTTTAAAAAGTCATCAAATTATAGTAGAGATTATGAATTACAATTTCCATTAAATTATTTACTAATGATTGAATTTCATCTATGTTCCTTATTGTAATAATTGTTTTTGTTGGTTCCAGCTATTTATTCACCTGTTCCACTTGTTCCAACAAGAAAATGGTCTAGTCGACTAACAAATAAGTACCTAAGTTATAGAAAAGTAAGTAATCAGATTACGAATTGAGTAGCAGTGAGAAAGGCATTCATTCAAAAGTATTCTATTTTGTTATATGCCAAGGAATGGTCAGCTGTTTTAATTTATTGCCTGTACCTGCTCATTAAATCAATTTAAACAACAATTTAATAAAACACATGAAACAAATGCAGTTGTGTGGCAAAACATTTGGTATTCAGGAAAAGTCACCTTCTTTTGTTGTGAAATAATCATAAAACAATAAAGCAGTTGTAGCAAAATTAATTTATTTCTTAATTTGAAAAATCTTACCTTCCGATCCAAAGCAAAATTCAAAATTGGGGTAAGGATGCCTTCCACAGCCATTCAAAGCTGCATTGCCCGGTTTACCCCAAACAATCACAGCAGTTGAACCCTTCGTTTCATGATAAAAAGTTATGGCCAGGAGACCCATAGCAGCATTGTCGACTAGCAGCTCGCAACCACTATTTTCTGCACAAAAGATAACAATGTCGTAATTTCGACTGGAAATATCGTATGGATTAGTTTCAGAAAGCAAATTAAGTCGAATCTTAGGAAGCCAATGGAATTTTTAATGTTATAATATAATATTTGTAGTTTACCATAACCTTGGGTGGTTGACAAAAATTTCGATTAAAAGAAATTAATTTCCGATAAAACCTATATGCACATCGCGATCAGCATAATTTATTTATATGATTTCGACAATTACATGACTTCCAGCAAGTATTTTTACCATAATTTCTTGTATTTCTTACCTTCGATATGCAAGGGCTTCGTAAGCCGGCCATTTTCGTTGCCGGAAATGTTGCTCGTATTCGGTCCAATAAGAAACAAGCGTCACGTCTAAGCACTCTACGTAAGTAAATGGTGGTTTTTTAAATAATTAACCGGGAAGGTAAAATCTTTAATTAAAAAGAACCTTATTTTGTGGGGTTAATGTACGAAATAAAGGTTAAAAACGAACCCTTATGTAATTATTCAGTTAATAAAAATCCTGTTTTATGTAATTAAAATGCGTTGTGTATTTAATTTAAGAATTCACTCAAAATTAAAGCTACTTTGGAAATGTAGTCTACAAAGAAAAATAAAAGTTGAGTAGAATTTAAATCAAAAAAGAAGATAGTAAATACCTTTAAGGGTTAAATTTAATTAAATAAAAAAATGTTGACATTTTCAGCGTTCTTTTATGAAATAGTTGCTATTTCATAAACAAAAAGCTATCTACACAAGGTAAGTGCCTTCAAAAATCCCGTTCAAACTGTTTTTTTTTTGTTTTGGTATACTAATAGGTATAAAAACAAATGATTTCTTCTATCAATTTTCTTTCATTAATAGCTTGTTTTGTTTGTTTTAAAGATGACGTTGTTTTTCTTCGACTGCTCCCAATTTAAAGTAAAAATTGATATCTGGGGAACCCCGATAAATTAGTGGGGTATATTACTTTCTCTACTAGTAAGAAATGAATTAATATACAAGGCTGCTCCTTATGTAAATAAATGTCCGTCGCATAGAAAGCGTGTTAAGAAATCGCTGTTTGATGAAGTTATTTTCACGATAATATTATAATTAGCGAAGATCCGTGGAAATTTTCATTCAAGTGTCTCTTCCCCATTGTTTTTTACCCGTCTAGATAGTAAAAACTTTAATTTTGTTGTACGTATTAGGCATCTGCTTAATGTTGTTATTATTTTTTTTATATTTAAAATTCGTCTGATATCTAAAAGTAATTCCAGGATAACGTGAGACAGGTAAGTAGGTACGTAGGTACTTATATGAATTAATTCCGCATTCTTTTTTATTTATTTTGCATTCGTGCTTGCTTCGGTAATGATGATGATGCCGAAGGCAATAGGTCAACTGAAGTGGTAAATGTATATATCCACACATACTATATGGTTTATTAGTGGTACACAAATCTATCATTTACTTTCACTACCTACTGTTATTATCTAATTCAAGTGGAATACCTCAACTAGCAGTTGATAGTAATCTAAACGCCATAATTTTCACAGACCGTCCGACATTTGAAATACGTTCATTTGTTTTAATTACAATCGTAATGGCCAAATAAGTTATTCTATTGTCATTCTTGCGTAAATATTTTATCCTTTGTTTTGGCGTTTTCATTTGATAAATACGTAAATTGTATTTTTTATGAGTAGCTAGCTTCAAATCAATCGTAAACCGGAAGTGCCGGAAGACATGTTTGTAAAGTTGCCATAACAACTGTACCTAATTACTTTGCCGAATAATGGCACCACTTGTTATTTCTGCGTTCGGCTGGTACAGAGGCTGAGGATGATGACTTAAGTCCTTGGAAAATGTTAAATCGTTAAATAAGTAGGTACAACCGGAAGTGCAGGAAGCAGGAAATGCAAGAATTTCGTATGAAAGATATTCAATTACCGCAAAAAGGACTGTCGGTAATTACAAGTCGTTCTAAACAGCAGTAGTTAAAGTCACAATACATCTGTGTAGCTACATTTAAATTGTGTACTTTCTATAATTACAATACCCATTAGTTTAAAGTCTCCATCATCGCTGATTGGCTGTAATTTCGTCAATTATTACTTCATTTATTTCATTCGAAGTCAGTTAATTGGTTTTCCTATACACGAACGATTTATTCAACTGTTTGATGAGGATCATCTCTGATATAACAACTGACAATCGTCCATGTACTTTCAATTTTGTTCTTTGACCTTTACGAAAACCGATTGCAATAGTTGTCCTATTTATTGGAAATGGTTTCCTTATATAGAAGCAATTCTTTTAAACATCTACAAATTGACGATCTTCGGTATAGGTGTACCCTAAGTAGAATGTGCCGCAAAATTAATTACCTAAATTAGAAACATTTTTAATTTTTCATTAAATGTGTACAATAATGTAACTATGTCTCTCATTAGAAAAAGTTTGGACTGTTGTTAATTGTTTAATTATTGTTAAATATTATCGTTGTCCCGTTAAGGAAAACCGTTTTCCATTATTTATACAGCTATGCGGACTGTAGAATTTACGCAACGTTTTAATTATTGCGAGTATCTACAAACGAGAAAAACAAAAAGGAGTACAACTTTAACATCATTTAATGTTGCTTACCTTTCACTGCATCAATGGTTATTAAGTCTTGAGGCAACATGCAATTTCTGTGTCATATTTGTAAGCCTAAAGCGTATCACGTCCTCAAACGGCAATAGAACAGACACCTGGACATAATTGGCTTCGAAGAAAAAAAAAAAAGAAGCAGAACAGAAGAAGAAGCTTTTGTTTTATTTATAACGTTATTAGAAGAGCGCCTTAAATAAAAATGTTGACGATCGCTAAAGACATGTAATAAACAAAAGTGAAGTCTTCGAATCAGTTACTCAACTTTTGTTTATTTCTTTCTAAAGCATCCATTATTCCTTATGTGGTGCCCATGCGTTGCATGGATCACCCAGTTCCATTTGTTTGTATTGAAAGTGGAACTCCTGTACTGACTTACTTCTTGTTGATATTTTTGATGGTTGTAATGGTCACGTTATCTACTAACGAATTTTTGATGTTGGAGTGTTCTTATTTCATCTTCAACTTGGTCTGCACCAGACCGATGTTATTTAGGGGTTGGTGTTGGAATGAATATCAGAAAATGGTACTTCTTCAGTCGATTTTTTTGTTTCCGTTGTAACTTGTTGTTTTATCATCTGTATCTCTAAGAAATTCATTTCACGATTTCTAAAAGGAAAACGGCTGCTTTATCTGTCGTTTAAATGTAATACGTGTCTTGACTAACAGCAGTTATTGCACACATAAACTGTTCGCAATAATAAGGGTCACCAGAAAGAGCAATCTTAGTGAAATATCTGTCTGTATATTTATCATGCTGCACAAAACGAGGAAACTACGTTTTCAAAAAAAAAAAAATTACAGCAACAGCCAATTATTTGAACTGATGCTGATCTGATTCGGGTCTAAGGACCGTCCTGTGTTGGTGAGCTTCTTCAGAGGTTCTTCCATCTCCGATGCTGGATGCGGAGTTCGCGAAAACCCTTCACCAATTTGTCAGCCATCAATTATTTATTTATTAAACACTTGTTGACTTTGCAATAATTGTACCTAGTGCTGGGAAAAGGGCAAGATCTGAACGAATCACCTCGTATAAAAGTGCCGGAGGTTTTTGTCTCAATTGCTCAGATGCAGATAGTAAGCAAAGTAACGAAACAATTGGGTAACATCGCGTTTGTTGCAGGAAAAGAAACAGAAAACGAGAGCAGCGCAAAAGTTTAAATAAAAGAATATCGCAATATTTCCAAACTTAGAACTCTTGTTGCAAAAGATCGCCAGTTCAAGCGGATGTCATACCTACACATATTGTACGTGTACACAGTGGTACAATAGTAACACTTATGTTTTGTTTTCTGCTGTATTATTGTTGCTAAACAAAGATTATAATGGACGTCCAGTTTCCTTTGCGCGCAGTAGTTTTCACAAGACCTGTGCGAAATCCTTCTGGTTTCGCTTTTATCGTATTATTATATTAACTTGCCGTGTGCGGGTAAATTATGAACAAAAAACTTTCTCATTACCTTAATTAGCCAATCGGGTCGTTAAACTTTTGCTTTGACTTAAATACTTGTGCCAGCCGTTTACCGCATCTTTTAAACCATGCATTCAGGTCATTACTGAGATGAGGTAGCTACATTGAGTTAAAGTAATCTTTGGGAATGAAATCGCGAACGTTATTTGGATCCACGCATCGCAGTAATCATTAAAACAAAAAACAATTGCCGCGTATGCTATATCAGAGTTACCTAATTATATCCATGTGGGTAACTATTTTGTTTTGTTTGTTATGCGATGCTCTTTTCATGATAAGGAACGTCAACTTTTTAGACGCATCTTTTTCCTTTCCTTCATTTTTTTTGGTGGTCCCAATTTAAATGGTTACCATTTTAATCGATTATAAGAAATTATAGAAAAAATAATTGTTGACGTAAATTTCACTTTTTGATAATTGGCTGACATTCAAACGGAGCTTATGGGTGCATCTCGTGAACTTGACACTGTGAAACAAGTAAAAAAGGACACTCCCGTCTTTCTCTTTAGCATAAATTAATTTATACTTTATATATTGAAAGTGCTTGACGGTAAACAGGTTTGGAATGTAGTGCAAGTGCAAAAGTAGCACCCATTTGGTATGTAATAGTACCTATTACCATTAATAGAGCAAAAGACAGAGGAGTGGCCGACTACTGACTTGATTCATGCTTTTTCTACTTTTCTCGCATGGGTCTGATCCAATTAATGGTTTGTTGACCATTGCGGTTGCGTAATGTACAGTAATTGTCATGGTTAAAATGGTAGCACTCGCTATAAACGGTATTATTGTTGGTTTTCTAAGTCAAGGTTAATTCTTTCACTGCAGCTTCGATATAAATTTTACCTTTTCAATAACCATCATGGGAATCGGGAGTTTTTTTTTCAATTACACGCAAGAAAATGGTACGAAAACAGTTGCAAACTATTTGTACCTGAGACAGAAGACTAATACGTAAACATTTTCTGAAACATGATTTATTTTGTTTCGTATCGAAATATTCCAAATGCATTTGTTATTTTTCAATTGTCTTGTTCAAACAATACGCTTTCTGAAACAAAACAATTTGCTACTATAGAAAGCATTTAGAATTTAGATGACTAATAGTTTTCACTAGACATCGCACTCTCTACATATATCTCTAAAGTCCATCGTCACGTCTGCTGTGTTTGGCAATCCAATTGTTCTAGAAAAAAAAATGTATGTACAGACATACGTATATCGTATAGACATGACAAGGAAGTGCAGTTTACCTATATGTAAGTACCAACCGGAAGACCAAAGATATTATATAGGCATATGTGCTATGGTGGTTTAGATGGTACGGTTTGGTATGGTACGACATGGCATGCATATACATAATAGTTAAATGGTCTTCATACTATGACATAGGTATAGATACACCGGTGGAACAAGAAGGAGAAGATCGGGTAATAATGCGTTGTAGAAAGTGTTTTATTGCAAGTCTTGAAGAAGCAGGATACACTTTGACATTAAGTAACACCCGTTTTCGCGATCGCTTCTTCGCTCGGTCTTCATTTTCCGACCGCTTTCTAAATATTCCTTCCCAGGTCGCGGGAGAGAACAGTGAAACCGACGATTTGTACAGGGCGAACACAAAAAAACACGTTACCATCGTTTTAGGTACTGACTTTTTATTTTGCATTCCTTTAAGCCACGTGTTGCCGATCTTTTCTTTATCACCGTCCGACCGTCCATTATGATATCTAGCTAATTGTACGTGAAATGTTAAAATGTTGTTGCATATTATTTGTGGGTCTATGAAAACAGAGGGGACAAAGAGAAACCTGACGGAAAAGAAAGTATTAAGTATATTAATTTCCTAAATAGATAGGTTCTCTATGGGCACCTCCCTTAACAGCCTTCTGGACCCACTACCGTCCCCATGGAAGGCTCCAGCGTCCACTTGCGGCGACATCCTGCCCGTTTAGAATCTATTTCCTTTAATCCGTTCCATTGTAGCTTAGACCGGATTAGAGTAACTTCTCTTACTTATAAGTTTATTTGGTTTTCATCTGATTCAAATCATGGATGATGTAGGCGAAAATTCTTCCGTGTAACTCGGAAATCGCCCTGTAAATTTTGACGATTAAAAGAAAGATAACGTAATGGCGTTGAAGTTTCAGAGTTATTAGAGCGTGGATCGGATTCAGGATCAATAGTTTCCGAAGAACAACATTAATAAGAAATGCCCCAGATTATGATCTTTAAAAAGTTTTCCCTTGTTCATATTCAAGGGAAATACAGCCGAGATGACGATGATGACATTTCCACTCAATAATAAAACAATAAAAGAAAAAACAGTTGATAATATAACCAATAAAATAGTAATATCAAAAAACACTCACAAACTGTATCCATTATGTGTAGATACATATTTTTATTGCACTTCATTGTTTTGAAAATGGCACGAAAAGCGAACTAAGATAATAAATACAGTTTTTGTGAAATAAAACCAAGTTTTTTTTGTTTATATTTTATTGTTAAAATGTTTCACCAAGCGACTGACAGCCGCATAATTTCGAATAAATGAAAATCACTTTTCAGAGTCCATTGTTTCTAACAATAAAGTCGTAAAGCTGATGATTTACTAAACGACCTGTGTTGTGAAAAGTGAGAACGAGTCCGTTCAAAAGAAACAACGGTAGTTTTCATTGTTTTTCAAGTTTATCATGGACAAGAATACGTAATAGCTGCGCGCCACCCCTCCTACAGAGAAATAGAACGAATTACAAAAAGAATCCCTAAATTCATTCCTGTATAATATATTGTAGTATTATTTACATTAGAAGAATTTCGCCGTATGGTAGATAAAATATTACCAACATTCATTTGCTATTGAGGCTTCCTTATTCGATACTTATTTATTATATGGAACCTAGTTAGGGGAAATACCGGAAAAGAAGAAGGTGATCGCGGAAGGGAACAACAACATCGTGAAAAGCCATGACCGCTATCAGCATCGCGTCGTCAGCCGTTGGGCATCTGATTCGACAAAATAAAATTCACTTTCACGCTAGTTGAGTGACCCCCAACAATTGCCGACAAAACAGACAGTAATTCACTCACTTACACGTCCTGCAAGCAAGAAAGTTTTGCCTTTTGATCTTTAGGTACATTGTGTCGTCGCTTGTTGAAGAAGGAGGCGACGAAGAGGAAAAAAACAGGCAAAATCATTATCCCATCAACTTATACAGTATAATAGTGAAATACATACGTAGTATGCATTTTCCCTTCACTTTGTATTAGCTTACTAGAATGCTGTATTAAATAATCCTGCTAATCATCTTAATTTTCCGATGAACTAAAGATGATTTTTAAAATTTCTTCCTTTACATAATTAGAGAGCTTTTTGGAATGATTTTCTTGTTTCTAATTTTTTTCAGTAGCAGAGCATCGATGTTTGGCGCTGAAGGACTTGTTGAAGGACGACCAGGGTGTATGAGATCGCTGATTGATCCAGCCTCTCCCAATTTCTTAATCAATCTCTTTACAGTTAATGAAGTTGAATGATCGTATTTTATGAAACGGAGAATTTCACAGGGAAGCGAATGGTGGCCACCTTTACCATTAAAAAATGGTTGTAAAACAATGGTACCTAATATTAGTCAAAGAAGTAGAGAAAATTGTACTTGTAATATTGTTTATTTATTTATATGCCATTAAATAATTGTACATTTTGGTTAGTAGTAGTGTGACATTTTCCCTAATACACATTGTAATAATACCATTACCTACCTAATAAAGAATTCAACAAATGATTTTGTTTGTAAAGGACTTGCATGTAGCTATGTATGTAGATACCTAATACGTAAATGTTTTTTAACGGTGTCGTGAGAAAAAAAAATTCGCACGAATGAAATGCAATAACATGACGAATCATTACAAAAGCAACTGCATCTTTACCATGGTCGTGTACGATGTAGATACCTACAGACTAATTAAATTTGCTGGGTTCATTTAAAAACTTTCTCCGACATTATGTGTCGATGTTTACTGTCTTCTTTCTTTGCCTTGTATTTGATTCTGTTTCTTCAATTAATTAAAATGCCTTCAGTTGTCCGTTATGCTTTACAAACCGAAAAACAAATGCCTCACATTTTTATTACGATTTTATTCTAAATAATTGTCGACAGAAGCTATCAACATATACGTATATTCATTTGTCCTATCTTCTTTTTTTTTTTTAGTTAGTTTCGACGGTAATATTTACATTAATACGTACTTTTATAAAAAGCAGCACGTCAATAATAGTTTTAAACAAGGTAAGTAAATTTGTCCCGTAGTTGTTACGCTGATTAAAATTGCAATTAATTTTGAGGTCGACTGTATGTCTGCTATCTGCACATACGTTGCGTGGGTAAGCAAAAGAGAAAATTCAGATTTTTTTAGTTGTCTCGTATTATGTTACATACCCCTTGATTAAATTTTGTATCCGCGACATGTGCCCGTGGTCAAATAAAGCTGGATGACTAATCGCAAGTAAGAACTTTCGAAAATTTTAACCAATAAAAAGGTTCTAACACGTAAGCTCTTTATTCATGTCTGGAATATTCTATGTCCATAAGGAACTCTGAAATAAATATTAAAACTAATTCCATATTTTTTCCGGCAATAGATTTCCTTATGGAAAGGGAACAAAAAAAAAACGGAAAGATTTTGGATGCAACAGAATCCAATAAGGCGCTCGTTGTAATACATAATAATTAGAAAGTGTACCGGGCTCTATGCTATCTAAATGATGGAGCTGTTTTTCTACAGTAGGAACTTTTAGATTACATAAAGAAATTTAATTTTGCTGACTGACATCAGTTTTACTTCAGATCATGAAAAGGAAATATTTTTAGGTATGAACACAAATGTATAAAAACGACATGTTTATTCGTCCGTATTCAATGTATCTTTCTTTATAAGAAGATGAACATTTAAAGAATCTAACTCATGAAAAGTATCCATAAGGGAGAAGGAGAATGAATTAATTAAGCAACCAACCGAATGATTAGCAGTGAATTAAACAGAATTTAGAGAATATGCAGAATTGAGATATTAATTTAACTTCTTTTGAAAACTGCCAGTGAATACGAAGCTTTGAGAATCTGTAAAAAGAAAAATTGAATTGGTTATTAAATTTTAAAAAGAGAAGGTTCCATTGCAGAGTTTTCGGTCTAATTTGAAACTCTATTTTAAGAGCTGATGGTACCCAGACACGAAAAATTCAAGAAGTTGTCAATCCCAAAGGTTAATAGTTTTAAATTGTCATTTCCAAAATATCCGTGGTTGACCAGTTTTGAAAATAATTTGAGATTTTATCTTCTTAAACTTGGACCTTCTCTTTTAGTTGTTAATTAATTATTCCTGGTGTACATCAACTTACGTTAACAAACGTTGACAAGGTGAGGGGTGCAAGTCCTCCCATGGTAAAACAAACGGGTTGCAGTACCCTTATCATGATTATTTGTAGAGAAACCTTAAACGATTTGGTAGTCCCGATCCATTTGCACTCGTAGATAGCAGTATGTAACATTTCGATCTGGATGCAGCGTATCGATAAATACAAACATACTTCTCATTAGTCAAATAGGTGCAATAACAACCCCATAAATTATATTTCTTACCATTGATGTCAATCGGTTGCCACAATAACAGTACATGAATGTTTTACCAATGCTAACCACAAAAATCACACCCAAACCAGCGATAGCTTCGTCTAGGTTGGGACTCTGCAATGTTTTATTCCATAATTTCGTTTCAATCTTGCGACCATAGTAGAAAAATAGTAACATTTCACATGATGGTCACAGGTAATTGGACAATGAGCCCTTCAAATTCATCACTGATGCATTACTCACATTGATAGTCACAGTTTCGAGTTCAATTTCAGTTTCTAAATGTCCAATTGCCTACTACCATCGCACGTAAAATTGGGGTTTTTAATGGCTTACGTCTAAGACACTCATGAGACTGAGGCCCACGGTGCATATGGACCATGATGAATTCAACAGCATCACCATGCGGTAAACCCGTTCGATGCAGCCATAAAATCTTTAATGATAGACCTAAGATTAGCATGCTCGAATTTGATAAGAATGTAGTAGGGGTTCTAATGAAACTTACTGAAGCATTTCGTCCAGATAAATGGCACAAACTTTGATGTTTACGGCCATTTTCAGGTTCAGGGCCTCCTCGTTTGGAAATTGGAAAGAATTCTTCAGTTGTTCGGCACATCGTGAATGCATACTTTTAAAAAGGTATTTCAGCACCTTTACATGGGCACATATGAAACTAACATAACTTAGAAACAGGGTGTCTACACCTAAAATATTAAGCCTATAGAAGTGGTATTGCTATTTTAAAATTGTTTTCTTTTGTTTCTTTCTCAAAATCAAAAGTTTGCTTACCTAACACGGAAAACACTAAAGTACCGCAAGCACTAGAACAAAAGAAGAACGATAACAAATTAGTAAAGCGTGAATTTATTTCGAAGGGCATCCAAACGTAGAAAATAAAAGGCTGGTAGTACGTAGTCGTAGTTGTGTTAAATTCGTCAAAGGAAATTTGGTAATATTTTTTGTACGCTATTGAGTACTGAAAAATCCAGACGAACGTAGGAGTCAGCCAAGTACTGAGAAAAGAATACAACATCAATTGGGTTGCCAATTTTCTGTACGAGTTTTCCTTGTTCATTATGGTCCTCACTGCTTGGTACTCGTGGGGATCGAATATAATTTCGTCCAGCCTGCTCCCAATGGTCTTCATCCGGGAAAAGATTTCCTTTCTGTTGCTGAACTGTTGAATGGCAGCAAACCACATCATAAGAAACGACAAAGGTACGATCAAGTTTATCGAAAAATCTCTAGTAGATGTAGACTGGGCTATCATTATAATAGAAAACGCGGGATAAAATGTAGAAGAGTAGACCAGGAATGCTTTTCTGGAATAATAAACGACACCCCGTTTTCCCGGTAGGTTGAAGTTGGCCCATCTGAGAAACTGAAAAGATTCTCTAGTGAACGCTTCGACAAATTCTGCTATTCCTTTATCGTCGGACATGTTGAAATTATTCGGATTAGTCAACTAAGTAACGGCTAAAAAAAGGTTCCTAATATATAGCACAAATAACCCTTTAAAAATTGATAACCCAATGGTACAGTCAGTATCCATTATCCAAGAAATAAATGATTAAAAAGTAGTAGTGATTATTCATTCGGTATCGATTGACGCTCCTGCTTATTGATCATTTAAATAATGCACAAGACATATTATTATCACCTAATTATGTTAGGGGCGGATCCGGAAACAACTCATGGGCGAAGGGGGAGAACAGAAAAATAAACTTTTTCTAAAATCTTAATAGTAAGACAACTCGCATTAAATGAAAGCATTATAATAAGGAGTATAGATTGAAGTGATTTATTTAGTTGGAAGAATTCATATTGAATTCAATTTTATTATTATGTCCTTATAGAACCTACGTTTTTATGAATGTAGCAATTAAAGAGGTGTTAAATTAATAAATCAAGTTGTAAAATATATTTTTAGACGTTTGGTTGTTTCAAAAGATCAGAGATGTTTGCGTTTGAATTATAGTATTATTTGTACTGTGCTGTCTCGTGGTTACGTTTTTGTTTGATTCATGCTAAAGATTTATAAATAAGAATGTACAATAGGTGCAGTTGTTTGTAAAATTCGCCGAACTAATTAGTTTGGTTAAAAAAGATAAAGATTTTTATGGCAGCTACGTAGTTGTGTTGTTATTATTTTCCACTTTTCTCAGTTTTCACTGGTCGTATAATTATCGTAACCCCTCCGATTTAAAATAGCTTTTATATTCCCTCATCAGTTAAAATTTTTGAAAGGTGTATTTTGCAGATGCCTATATATTAACCAACAGTATAATTATCGAGTTATTTTGAAGTTTATCAATAAAAGAGATATTAACTTATGAAAACCATTCTTTTGTGGTCATAATACACCTTTTGAAAACATTAAAAACGTTTTAGGGCGTGATGAAAAAAAAAGGTTAATATATTATAAAGGGAAAGTGGTATCCCAGGCGGTCTTATTTTGTTTTTTACTTTTCTTTATAAGTATCCTTTCCATTATTTCTTCTTCATTAAATTCACCTTAATTGAGAATTACTTTTTTATCCGAATATTATATACTTATGAGAACGTAATTACCTTTCTTTTTACGTATTCGGCGATATGCAGTTATCCTAATTGGCATCCTTACTAATAATTGACAGGTTCGTGCAGCCTTGTCATCAGTATTGAATAATATGCACAGGACGATTCAAAAATTAAAGAAGCAAATTATAAAAAAGTTGAAGAAAAAACAAAATAGAATCAGTTTAGAGAAAAAAAAAAACACAAGACAAGTACGAACTATTTGAAAAATGAGGCTGCGTAAAAGTTTAAAACAAAAGAAAATCATCCAAATTAGGGAGGTAATTGACAACTTTTTTCTTTTGTTTAAGTCATTTAATAAAAAAGAAAATGGAAAACTTGTTAAAAGTATGTATTTAAAGTAGTGACTCAATGTAATAGGTAGTGTAAAATAGAAGTCAGAGAAACCGATGACTGAATCTAAGTAAACAATTTTAGTGTCAGATCGTCAGATGTAAGAAATTCAGCATCTACCATTAGCAATTTAACTACACGTAACCTAAATTTGACTTTTTATTTTATCGGCTAATAGAATAATCAAATAATTACGTAAAATGAAATTTTACATTTTGAGAAAGTCAACCTTGACGGGTTTTACCTATACGTATCAATTTTTCACAAAATATATTAATGTACATGCGAATATAAATACTAAATTGTCTTATTAGCGTTCATTCCATTTGTTATAATTATTATGAAAAACAATTGTAAGGAAACAAATATACGTAAAACAAACGAGATGTACCAAATAAACTGAGCAAGAGTCATTCGTAATAAAAAGCGCTCTTGACATTAGCCGTGAAGTTTATAAAAGAAGCAATAAATTTCTTTTGTCTTTATTTTCTTTTTTTTCATTTTTCATCGCGTTAAATTATTCGCAATTTATTTGACGTCTCTGCCTGAGAGCCAAAGGTCATCAGAAATCCGCCGACAACAATTCGCACACAATAATTTCCTCTTCGGCTGATTGTGCATCAGCCGACAGTGGTTACTGGTAAAAGTGAATTTTCATCAAGAAGTGAATGTGCACACGTACAAACACACACACACACACACTTACTTACACATACACTGTCGCGAACGCGGTCCTCTCTTGGTCTTTTTCTTATTTCCATAATGTGCTCCTGAGCGAGTAAATCTTCGGGCCAAAAAGGGGGGCAGTCTCTTTAAATACTATCTGGGATGTTTGTTCGGCATCATTTTGTGAATATTCAACTCCTTCAACATTTAGTGGTGTCAGCACAGAGATGCGACCAATTGTGGTACGTACTATACATTTTTATTTACGCGAAATTTCAAAAAACTAAACGCTAAGTTCCGATATTCTTCTGTAAATACTTCACTTATTTTTTTAACCCTTTTGTGAGACTTGTGCAGTTAAATTATCGTTCATAAAAAGAAACCGTTAAAGTTAATAGTGTGATTTGATTCTGTAAATGTTGGATTTGTTTTTTTTTAACGTTTGTGGCATACAAATCCAGAGAGTTAAATAGTATTTGTTTCTTGAATGTCGGGGGTGTATTTTATATCACTTTTTCGGACAGAATTGAAAAAATAAGAAAACAGCATTATGTAGTTGGTTTTGAAGAATTGTGTATTTTGTTTTTCGTTTTTTTTACTTAGCACAAATGTTTATTTCGGGATAGGATATTTTCTACCACTTCTTGTTTATCATCTAGTAAATATATATAGGCACAATATGTATATATCAATCAAAAACGAAATTTTGCTTTACGCTTTTCATCTGTCGCCGAAAAAGAAAAAGTTTCTTTAATAAAGTTTCATTATAATTTAAAGAACTCTCTACGATTCGGTTTATACTATTATGAGTTTCAGTTATAGTTCCAATAAACAGCAAATTTCAATTTTCAGCTGTTTTCTTCTTTGCTGGCACTTGCCACAGCAAAGCCTGAAGCCGGTTACAGCTACAGCCCACCTTCGTCCTCATACGGAGCACCCTCTGGGGGTGGCGGCGGTTTCGGAGGAACCGGAATCGGCGGTGGTTTAGGTGGAGGACACGGCGGCGGAGGTTTCGGAGGTGGAGGACACGGCGGCGGAGGTTTCGGAGGCGGCGGTGGCGGATTTGGAGGCGGATTAGGAGGTGGCGGATTGGGAGGAGGCGGATTTGGAGGCGGTAAGAAATCGGAGAGAAAACAATCCACAAGAAAATATTAACGAAACCTTTTGTTTTAGGACTTAGCGGAGGTGGAGGCGGCGGAGGATTTGGAGGCGGTAAATACTTACTTCAAATTAAAATTATGTGTTTCCGAATTGTATGAAATAATTTTTTTGTTTTATAGGATTTGGCGGTGGTGCTGGCGGTGGTTTTGGCGGTGGTGCTGGCGGTGGTTTTGGCGGTGGTGGCGGTGGAGGTTTCGGAGGAGGCGGTGGTGTCACCGTCCAGAAGCACATCTACGTTCACGTACCACCTCCAGAACCTGAAGAATTCAGACCGCAAAGGCCCATCTCTGTCGGACAAGCCCAGAAACATTACAAAATCATTTTCATTAAGGTAAACGATTTGAAATTGTGCAGGTTTACAGCCCCCCTACCCCTTCCAACACTAGTATATAAATTTGTTTGTGGCCCTTTTTTAGGCCCCAAGCCCACCTGCGCCAACTGCTCCAGTTATTCCCGTTCAACCACAGAACGAAGAAAAGACTTTGGTCTATGTTTTGGTTAAAAAACCAGATGAAGCACCAGAAATCAGTATTCCAACCCCAGCACCCACACAACCCAGCAAACCAGAAGTCTACTTCATCAGATACAAGACACAGGTATACAACCCTGTTTTGTACTTTCATCTTTAGGTACATGTACTCCTATCTCGAACTAAAACAAAACAATTCTTCCTTATTTAGGCAGGTAACAATAACACATCAACTTTGTGTTGACCTAGATATGCGAAGTTGCTAGAATTATAACAAATTCTTCTTTGGCTATTTAGCATCAAGACGATAATAATAAAATTGATGTCACGCATTAAGTATATCCCGAATCCGACGTCGACGTTCTTCTTTTTTAATCTACCGTTTGTTGGTGATTAGTATCCACCGGTGACATTAAAAGGTGAAATGCGAATTAATCGCGCTTTTCTATAAACATCTGTCTAGTGATTTGTTGGTCAATGGATTTCGCGACTTTCCAAATACACGACCGGCTGTAATAAGTTTACCGACACCAGGAGAAAGTAATGCATTGTTTCATTTCATGGCAACATCTTTACCAAATTTCAACATGTACATAGTAAAGTATAATATGCATGTGAAGACCGTTTATAGAGTTGACTTTCATGTAAGGACGATAATCCTTTGTATATAATGCGTAAAATGCTCACACAATCCGTGGGATATAGCGTGCGTATTTGATTGAATGTACGGCGCGACATTCAATTATTTACAAACACAATACCGACTGCAACTGTATTTTGTTTTTTAAATATCATTTTTTTTCATTTGCAGAAAGAAGTAGGCGGAGGCGGTGGTACTGGAATTGGAGGAGGTAAATTGAATGATTTATTTTTATTATTATTTTTATTATTGGTATGGAACCACTTGTGATAATTTATTTTTTCCTTAAGGATTTGGAGGAGGAGCAGGTGGTGGATTTGGCGGCGGATCAGGTGGCGGATTCGGAGGTGGATCCGGTGGTGGATTTGGAGGAGGACATGGCGGTGGAATTGGTGGCGGCGGTGGTATTGGAGGCGGTATCGGTGGTGGAATTGGCGGCGGTATCGGCGGTGGTAAGTTTTGGCAAAATCGATCATTTTTTCGAAATTGTTTTTAGTTTCATTGTTATAATCCCTTATTTTTCTTATTTTCAAGGCATCAGCGGCGGAGGCGGAGGCGTATCTTCGAGCTACGGTCCCCCCGGAAAATCTGGCCCATACTAAACCCAAACCTACCACGATACCTAAAAAAGGCAAAACAAAAAACAAAACAAACAAAAAAAAAAAAACAGCAGCAACTATAAGAAACAGCATCGTCGTGCGTGCTGACCCGTATTATGACGTCACTGCCCTTTTTTTCGTTTTGCAGGACGTTCGTGTGTTTTGCGAGAACAAAAAAGTGAACTAACTTGCCTTTAGTGTATACTAAGCCTTATTACGTAAATTGTGTAAATAGAGTGCAATAATATTAAGTATTAATGATAATGTGTACCTATGTATTTTAATGATTGAAATACATGTATGTATATGTATAATATGTGTATATTTTATTTTGTAAATAAAATTACGGTGACAAAAATCTCTATTTTCAATCGATTTTTTTGTTTATCGTTTCCTATTTCCTTCTAATTTGATTAAAAAAAAAAATAAGAATCGTCTCCATACTTAAGAAACTTGCAAAGTNTATATATATATATATAGACAATAATTTTTTTCATATCCGCATATTTGAAAACAAAAAATATTTCACCTTTATCTCAGAGAGAAAGATACTTTTAATCCAAAAACACAATTAAAGTAATTCCGATTTAATTACCGCTGCAATGCGAATTAGTGGGGTGCAATTACCACGATATCTTGTTGATCTATCTGTCGCTTATCATCGCGTAAGCGAAGGTGACGTGATAAATTCACCTTAGAAAAAATACCCATTCATGAAGGGGACGTCCGTTCGTTATGTGCATTCGTAATTGAAAAGAAAAGCGTTTTTCATATTTCAAATTGCAGTTGTAATAAACAATATAGCACCAAACTCGAGTCCACATCGAAATAAAATGATAAGTTACTGTGATGAATTCCCTGTTTAAGTTTTGTGCTATTGTTACGGTTCTCTTGGACTTAAGCACGTAAGTCGATTTGTAATGTAACTCACACTTACTAAATCATTTAATGTTCATTCAAGGTACAACCCCCGAGGTTCCAATACATATAACACCGATAGGATTATTTCGACAAAGATCGACGCAGCACAATCTATTCTAACAACTAATTTATCATTCCACCTTGCCACCGAAACTACAACGTTATTTTCCACAACTGTATCCAATACAATTACTTCCTCTACAGACAGTTTTCCTGATCGCTCGACAATTGTAAATACGCCAGAAACTCATTTGACCACAGGCAGTTCTGAAGAGTCTTCTACACTCAATATCATTGATGGTTATACAATTTCATATGCGCCAGATGCTGAATTGACTACAGAAATTACTGCAGAAACTTCTGCAACCAATGCTCCTGATCGTTCCACAATTCCGAATAGGCCAAATACCCAACTGACTACAGACACTACTGAACAGTCTTTCACCACCAATATTCCTTATGATTTAACAATTCCTTTATCAAAAGTCAAATTAACTACAGAAGGCATTGAAGAAGGCTATACAACCACTGGTTATTCGACAATTCCAGACACGTCAGGGACTGAGTTACCCACAGAAAGCACTACAGGGGCTATTACAAACACTGCTTCTAATCATTCAACACTTTTAAGCAACTCAGAAGTCGAGTTAACTACAGAAAGTACCACAGATGCTTCTATTACAAATCTTTCTGATAATTTGACAATTTCGAACACGGTAGGGGCCGAAATAATTACAGAAGGCACTGTAGAGACGTCTACGACTAATGTACCTAACGATTCAGCAAGTCCAAATGTACCAGAGACTTCTATTACCTCAGGCACTACACAACACCCCTTCCTAACTAGTATTCCTGATGATTCGACAGTTTCATACACGCCAGGGGCCGAATTAACTACAGAAGGTACTAAAGATACATCTACTATTAATCTTTCTGATAATTTGACAATTTCGAGCACGACAAAGGCCAAAATTATTACAGAAGGCACTGTAGAGACGTCTACGACTAATGTACCTAACGATTCAGCAAGTCCAAATGTACCAGAGACTTCTACTACCTCAGGCACTACACAACACCCCTTCCTAACTAGTATTCCTGATGATTCGACAGTTTCATACACGCCAGGGGCCGAATTAACTACAGAAAGTACTACAGATACATATACTACAAATCTTTCTGATAATTTGACAATTCCGAACACGGCAGGGGCTGAAATAACTACAGAAGGCAGTGCAGAGACTTCTACGACCAATGTTCCTAAAGATTCCACAATTCCAAATGCACCAGAGATTCAAATGACCCTAGCTAGCACTGACGTGCATTCTACAGACACTGACCATGGAAATTCAACAATTTCATACACGCCAGGGGTCGAATTAACTACAGAAATTACTACAGATGCTTTTTCTACCCATCCTTCTGATCATTTAACAATTCCAAACACGATAGAGGCTGAAATAACTACAGAAGTCAATGGCGATTCAACAATTTCAAACATGCCAGTGACCGAGTTAACTACAGAAAGTACTACAGATGCTTCTACTACAAATCTTTCTGATAATTTGACAATTCCGAACACGACAGGGGCTGAAATAACTACAGAAGGCAGTGCAGAGACTTCTACGACCAATATTCCTAATGATTCCACAATTCCAAATATATCAGACATTCAAATGGCCCTAGGCAGTACTGACGAGCCTTCTACAGACACTGTCCATGGCGATTCAACAATTTCATACACGCCAGGGGCCGAATTAACTACAGAAAGTACTACAGATACATCTACTATTAATCTTTCTGATAATTTGATAATTCCGAACACGACAGGGGCTGAAATAACTACAGAAGACAGTGCAGAAACTTTTATGGCCAATGTACCTGATGATTCTACAATTGCAAATACACCACAGATTCAAATGACCCTAGGAAGTACTGACGAGCCATCTACAGACACTGTCCATAGCGAAACAACAATTTCAAACACACTAGGGCTCAAGTTAACTACAGAAGGTGTTACATATGCTTCTACTACCAATGTTTCTGACAGTTGGACAATTTCGAACACGCCAGAGACCAAATTAATCACAGAGAGCACTGAAAAATGTTGTACATCCAATGTTCCTGATTATTCGACAATTTCAGATACGTCGGGGATTGAATTGCCTACAGAGAGCACTACATTGGCTTCTGTAAACAATGGTCCTTATCATTCAACAGTTTCAAGTACGCCTCATGCTGAATTTACTACTGAAATCACTGCAGAGGTTTCTACAACTAATGCCCCTAGCCATTCAACAGTTTTAAATACGCTTAATGTTGAATTGACTACAGAAGGTGCTGTGGATGTTTCGACAGCCAATGTGCCTGATTTTTCGTCAATTCCATACACGTCAGATGTTGAAATGAATACAGATAACACTGTAGATGCTTCTACAACCAATCGTCCTGATCATTCAACTATTCGAAATATACCAGCGAGTCAATCAACCACAGACGGAAGTGAAGAGGTTTCTACAACGTATGTTTTAGATCATTCAGTAGTTCCAAGCATGCCTGAGATTGATTGGACTACAAAAACTACTGAAGGGGCTCTTCCGATCCGTTTCTCTGCTAAAGTGACTACTATAAGCTATACAACAAAATCACCCATGGCAACAATGGAATCCACCTTTTCGTCCCTCGATAACAACGAATTAACAACGACATTAGTTGTTACTTCTTCTTCGACTCTTTCAACCGATTCTTCTTTTGAGTCCTCGTCTGATGGCCCTTCAACATCAATTGAGACAACGACTTCTTTTTCTCTGGACGCGGTTCCTGAAGCTTCTGCGTCCATTGCGGCTATCGTGTCTGCAGTTTTTGGTCGCTGTGTAGTATGTTACTTAGTTATATTGTGTGTTAACTAACCATTGTTCGCTTTTGAAACTTAATGGCTGTGAAAATATAGAAAATTATCGATGGTTGCCGTATGGAAAGTAATTATTTTATATTGTATTATTTGAAGAAAAAAAAGTGCACAGTGTTTTATTATCTATTTATTAAAAAATAGTAAGAAATGTACAGCTGTCATTGAACGGGTCACTGAGTCATTTTAGCGTTGCGAAAAGCTATAACTAATATTCTAAATTATAACTAAAGATAACAATTGTAAACCTATAACAACAGAATAATGTTAAATTTTTAAAAAAATCACCGTAATTCTTTATGATAATAAAGTAAGCATAGAAACTAACTTGGCTTAAAACTAGACTGGCGAGTATAAATATTTTAGTGTCCTTCGATGAGTGAGAATTAGTTGTATCCTCCAGAAGACGATGGAGCTCCGTACTGACTTTGGGGAACGCCACTTGGTGGGTAGCCTCCACCACCACCTTCTTCCTTCTATACGTAATATAAAAAGAAAAATGGAATTAAAGAAAGTCAATTACATTTTGATTTAAAATTGTATCAAAAGGTGTGGAGGAAATGTTTTTCATGTTGAAACTCCAACAATCTAAAGATCTACAAAATGAATTGTGTTAAACCTTAAAACCCAAAGCTCTAAGTTTGGATGCCGTGAAAGTGTGAATGAAGTAATTTAATTTGCATGGGGTGAAATCCCTTATTTTGCGATGTAGAAATCAGACTGTTTAAAATCGATTTCGTTGTTCTGTGGTGGTGACATTTTTTCCTTTACCAGTAACCCTCCTTTTGTGCTATTATCTCAGTTACTTTTGTCGTTACGTACGTATAGAAATTCTTTTAGATTACTATGTCCAAATGAGGAGGGATTGTATCCGAAAATAGTGGGAGCGTATCCACTAAGGGGTACAACGTTTTCCTCCAGGGAGGAGGGATCCAAGTAGTAAGGGTAGTTGTTGTATTTATGACCGAAATGATATGGTACCTGAGTCTTGTATCGGATGAAGTATACTTCTGGTTTGCTGGGTTGAGTGGGAGCGGGGGTAGGAATGTTGAGTTCTGGAGCTTCTTCCGGTTTTTTGACCAACACGTAGATAAGGGTTTTTTCTTCGTTTTGGGGCTGCGGTGGAATAACTGGGACCGTTGGTGGAGGTGCAGTTGGGGCCTAAAAAGGAGAAAGATCATATCAATCATCATTATCGACTTATGTGATCAGTATCGACAACCAGAATGGGCCAATGGAAAAGGTAACCGTGAAAGTTAGTACCTTTATGAAAACGATTTTGTAATGTTTCCTTGCAGGCTGAACCGGGATTATTTTGGGCGCTGGCCTGTTGTCAGGTTCCGGGGGTGGCACATGGACGTACACGTGCTTTTGCACAATGGGTGGTTGAGCAGGAGCGCCATAGCTTGGAGCTGGAGCCCCGTATCCACCGCCACCACCACCTCCAGACGGAGGGGCGCTATAACTGCTCGGTGGACCTGCACTTGCATACTGAGGTCGAGCCCAAGTCACCGCCAGAAACGCCGATAGAAACTGAAAAATACACTCGCATTTTATAATTGTAATTGTAGCCGACGAGAGTAGATGAAACATTAGACATTGAAAGCAATTATAATAATAACTTGAATCAATTTGTGTCAAATAATCTTTTATTTCAAAATTCATTTATTGTCCGGGGCAATAGACCGAATAGTCGCAACAGCGTGTTGTAAGAAGCGACAAAAGAGGCGCTAATAATTTATTTAATAATCGCCTAAGAAATTATTGGACTACATGATCAAGAGGCGTTTAAACCAGGTCCGTACTCGTATACACTTTTAATAATAATTAACTGGTGCGATTAGAAGGTGCCCTCTTGCATCAGAAGGCGTGTATTTTGCGTGGAAATTTCGAAACTACATATACGTCTAGTTTATGTAAGAGAGGAATTATTGTGCTAGTGGAAGAAGATAAAGAAGAAGAAGAAGCGGCTTATTTTTCACGAACATTAATTTATTTAACGAACCGAGTAAAAGAAAGTTAAAACGGAATGGGTAGTCGATACCCTCCGTTGCCTACAATGTTGTTAATTTAGGGAAAATTCGCGTAGCGTGTGTACAAGCTAACGTACTAATACGGTAAGCCAAGGTAAAATTGGAACGAAATTTTATTTACGTCTATGATAAAAAATACCTACCACAATATAATTTCTACCCACACGTTTTGAATGTTTTGTCTTTTTTATGGTTATTCTATTAATATTGCAGCGCAGTTCTATATGGATGCGGAACATGACGGTGGGCAATATGGGAAAGAAAAGATTACAAGTGGTATTATGGGTGGATGATGCTAAAAATATCGTTGAAAGAAACGGTTAGAAATAAGTAGTTATTAGAAAGAATAGGAGAACAGAGGGCATTATTGAAATCAATAGGAAATAGGCATGATATAATGATGCTGATAGTCGGTTATGAGAACTGATGTACAGCACTATAAGAGAAAATTGGGAATTCAACAGAGGGATATTCCATACAATCAAGGAGCCATATGTCATATTTTGAAAAATTCAACGTTATATAGAAAAATTCGTACAAATACTTTCACCTATCTTTTCATATATATATAAACAATAAAGTAATACAGGTCCAATAAATGCAATTTAAAACTTCCACCCGTGCGACATATAAAAGAAAAAATGCTCACAAGAAATGTGTAATTTTTATGTTCGTTGAACAATTTAACTTAGGTATAATAGATAAATATTACTGGATCTCTTAGATGTATGACATGCAATAAGACATTTGAAGAAGATAATATTGATAATCGTTTTCCACTTGAACTTTTCTTGCTAGATAATTAAAAAAGCGCTCTTTGAGAGAACAGATCCGACGATAGACGCCCTTGACTTCAATCAAACAACAGTCGAGTTTTTAAACGTAACATTGTGACTAACGTTTGTGGGAAGTACAAACAAGGATAATATTAAATTCCTATGAAACAGCAAATTAATATCTATCGACGAGACGACAATTATGGCAAGAAAAGTGACTGTTTTTTTATCCGTGCGTGAAAAACAATGACCCAGAAACTGTGAAAAAGAAATGCCTGAAGTACTTAAAATTAAAGGCAGGTGCTTCAAGGCTGACAAGAAAGAAGAAGTCCTAAAATGATAATTCGGCCGGCCTACTTTAGTACACAATATTAATCAGATATTGAGTAACAGAATCTTGTAATGAATGTGATATTGTCAGTTCATATTTCGATGATGTGTTTACGCAATATTTATGATATTGTTTTTTTTTTTATAAATTCGACAGGTTCATATTACACCACACCACGTACACATTCATTCGAATACTTCTACTGAAACTCGAATCAAATATTTGTCGAACACGAAACCAATATTGAGGGTAGGTATATTCTACACTTACCCCTAATACTCGACTAGAAATCAAAATCAAAATAGCGGATATTGTACTTGAAATACACCGTACAAAGCATTGAATTCATTTCTCTTCTTGCATTGCATTCAACAAAAATAATGTAATTTGCATCCATGTACTGTAGCACAATTGGTACTTTAATAAGCTAACGTCGATTTTATCGCAAGAAAGATGTAAAAAGAAGTAATGTTTTCTTTTATAATTAAGTACTTAGCTGACATAAGGGTCCAGTGTCTAGTAATCCGATTATGAAAGTAAAAGATTAATTAAGAAATGTGTTTACAGGACTGTTGGTTTGTAGTACCTGATATACCTACAAGGCAAAATGGGCAGAAATTACGAATTCCTTGTCGGCATTTTTTATTTTTATATATAAATTAGTGTCGAATATGTTTTTTCGACCACGCTTATCTAAAAATATCACTTATACTTCATTGAAAACTGTCTTAAACAAACCGAATTCTCAAAATCATTTGCATGGGGTTGCATGCAATACAATCCCTACGTTTGGCGCTCAATTCACTTACATCTATTATATGCGCAGTATTGAAAAATATTAATTACAATACTGAACAAGAAAAATACAGAATTATCACGTACCACTATAACCCTCATGGTGCAAATAATCCACACTAGGTACCACAGCACACAACAAACCGTTAATGTAACGCTGTGACAGAACTTTTTTTTTATATATAAGTACGCCACCGCCAACAATGTTATTATTCCCGCTAATTATTAGGTATTACTCCAACGAAGGCGCTAAGGGGTGGGGTTACAGAAGACCATCTTCAGTGTTTTATCTCTTTTGAACTTTCGTCGCAAGCCGGGACGACGCGATGCAACCAAGATTTAGTGAAAGTGAAACAATGCAACAGCACTTGAAGAAATTACAGGACCTCCGTGTACAAATGTGTCCGTGTGTGTACAGGTGCTGTTCGATTTGGACACTTACCAAGTAAGTGTAAGGTGCTTACTGCCCATAAATATTTAAATTCAGTTTCACCTGTCGAAAATTCTTGTCGATACTGACGGCCGAGAAGCTTCCTGAAACTATTTTTTAAAAGAAAACGAATAAGATGAAATGTAAATATTGCCAGGAATAGATCTCCTTTCGTTTCTAGAACAAAACAGCGATATGATGCTGTGCAAACAAATATACAAATACGATATTTTAGCGACTTTGAATGAGTGCAGTTACTGATCTTCTTCAAAAAAGACGAAGATTCTAAACAGCATGTATTTGTCATAATTTTTTGCTTTTCGTCTGTCCGTCTTGTTTCTGTTTTCAATAGTTTTAATCGAGTGTTAGTGAGGACACTGATTTTCGTTCTTTTTGAAACTCATTAAAACTTTTGCCTTGTTGTTATTACTTACGATTAAAATCCAAAAATAGCTTCCTTACATCAGTTATTAAAATTCCCCGTTTAATCCTGCGAAACAGCTCAGTTTTCTTCGGTATTATTCAGAGAAACAATTTAGACGCTCTTAATACAAACAATTGAAAAGTCGGATATGCTTAAGAAACAATCTCAAAAAGAAAACATCCCGTGGGAATGATATCATAGTTTTCATTTCTAAGTACATAGTTCCAACCAAACCATTACGTAAAGGAATTACAAAAGGAAATGCGTATATCGTTTTTTAAAAAAAAATTCAGTCGTTTAATAATGTCGTTTAGCTTAACTTCATCCACTAGCAGATAATTTATTCAGCTGTAGATTTTTTGTTTTAGAAAATCCTGCCAGAAAGTCCTTTAGGAGAAGCAACATCATTTTATTTTTATTAAACGATTAGTCTTCATCAATTTATTCGAGAGATTTCGAAATAAATGAGAAAATTGTTACTCGCAATTTTTAACGTTCAATAGCGAGTACTTGCTGTTAAACAATTTATAGCTGACAGTTTTACGATAAGGATTCTTCTTTTACTTTCACTTATTTGGACATTCAGAAAAATTTTATTGTAGGTACTCGCAGTACCACTTATCCGATTATATTTCTCAACGCTTCCTTACTGAGTGATTTTTGGGTTATTAGATAACCTGCAGCGTCTTCTCTTATTTACATTAAATAGAAAACCGATTGCGTTAGAATAAGATTAATTAAATCAAGTGATTATTGAGATTGAGAACGAGTACCTAATTAAACGCTGGTGCAATTTGTCAATACCTAAAAGATTTAGTTTAAACGGGTAAACAGCCACTTTACAGTTTTGTTATTTTAATCGCTGAAATTATATAATAGTTGTTGCAAAGTTATGTTTTGGTAGGAAACAGAGCATTCCGATCCTACTGACAATAAAACAAAACCTACTTTTAACCAAACCAAACAAATAAGTGAATGTATAAAACTTGAAAAAAGTCTAAACTTTAAACTGAAATACCACAAATACCGTTTCTATACGGAGACGTCTTTATTTATACATTCATTCGCAATCGTGTTTTCGAAATAGCGTCCGCCAGTGTTACCGAATTTAGGGAATAATACAATAAAAAGAAAGCAAGCGCCTGTAATACAGTTGTCGAATTCTTTAGTTGAATACTAAAGTTCCAGACTAAAACATACAGAGTGAACAAGTGAAGATCGTCCTAAAATGTAGAATATTATTGTAACTTCTCCGGAGTACTCAGGAGCTACTTGCATTGTTATTTCCACTTTTCCAAAAAAGCCAAGAAAATTCTATATTGTATACAGGGCAGCCACAGGAAGCTAGAAGGGATATACCCAAAAACGGACCCCATCTGAGAGCAAGGTAGTATCCGTTAGTAGATACCAAAATTGGCCAACACTTTTCCAGTTTAACAATTTTACTATTAGGAAAATGCAATCAATCATTAATATCATTTTATTATTGCAGGTCATGATTTTTAAAGTGAAAGGCATCCAAAATATGCACATCCATCATACGATACGGATCAATTGGAAGACTTATGTATTATACGTGATGCGTTCGTTTTACGAAGCTTGCGTAACTTGTGCGTACATGATGAGTAAGTAGTCCAAAGAAATTATAAGTATTACCGACATAACGTACCATTATACATGGTACCACACGTAGGTACCTGCACAACCAATGGTATATATATGTACAATAATAAATTATATACAAGTATCTACACGCGTTCTATGATTTTCATTTCACAATTTTTACGATTCAATTTTTTAAATACAACTCTGCTTAATAACGGGATGCTAGATTGTTAATAAATGTCCAAATTTAAAAATACGACGTACCCATAATGTGTAGAAATATTTAGAATTCTAATCTGTATGTGACATTAATGTATCTTCACATGTAGAGGAATTGCTAAAATATTCTTATTGTGTAATTTGGTAGGCGAGTAAATGTCCAAAATACGAAAGAATTAAGCTGTTTTACAACACAACACTGTTCAGCTGTCGAATAAATGTAGGTCCCGCGTTTTCCATTTGCGTACGCATGTAGCTCTTCTTTCTATATTTTTTTTTTTCTGGGTTACTTCTTTTCCTCGACATGATTTAATCATCGTAATTTTCTTTTATGTAATACTAATAGCACTTGAGCTTTAACGAATAAATTATTCATCATAATTTTCTACACTCTCATAATTTTGTAATATCTGCGCTTATGCTCGGCTAAGATGTTAAAAAGCCATTTAGTGTTGTTAATTAAAATTATGTGTTTAAGTTCGTTTTAACATTAAGCTTATAATTTCACGTACAGAGGCGGTCAAGCTGGTTTTTCTTACGATTTATGTTTAGATTTAATATTTATAGTAGGTACCTAATCAACACCAAAACAAATTGTAAAACAAGCCGAGTGTTTTTCTTATTTATTGTGCTTATCCTTAATTTCCACTATTTTTTCTATATTTTACAGTAAATATTTATTCGCCGCTACTGTGTTTTCATCTATCTAAAGAATGTTTCTAAATTACATTCATTCTCATGTACACAGTTATGTAACAGCATTTTTTTGTTTTCGGCTTAATGTTCTTTTTTGAATCTTTTCAAATTATTTTCTCACTTAATATATCATTTCGTGACAGAGTAGAATGTACGAAGTTTAGAAAGAAAAAAAAAAAAGAGACATTACGTGTTATGTCACGGCGATGGACGTACGGTCTATTGTCTTGGTCAAGGAAAAGAAAGCTTGCTGCTCAAAGTGTTTATGTGCCATAATGAGAAGCACCTCTTCCGATCTCCTAATTAGGGATATCTACGATAATAACTGGCAAAACGTGAAGGAAAGTGCTCGTAATGTCTAATGATATTTTGGTTAGTACCTGACACCAAAGACATGAAGTTACCGAATTCTTTTCTATGCAAAAATGTCGATGTAATATCGATGAGGAAGTTTGCAATATGTGCATAATTAGTTTGACTATTAGTGCCTCAGCTAGCAAACTATACACACAATTTAACTATAAAAAGCTATATAGGAAAGTCAAGTATTCCATAAACTGTTTTAGATTTTAAGCAAAATATTTGACATATTAAGTGAGGTAGAGATATTTAATTAAACAGTCACTAATTAGGAAGTAATGAACTACATATTAACCTACATGTAATTAATCGTAAAACTGAACAATGTCGCCTTCAATTAACTTTAAATATTAAATTGCTTATTGCACTATTGCAAATCGAAACTTTGGAAAATAAAATAATAAGTACTATTACCACACGTAAAATGTTTCTATGTTCTTTATTTACACTTAAATAAATAGATTGTATAAATAGTTTTGGTTAATTAAATAAGCAAATGCGTAATTTTACGTATTCTTGTTTCTTTTATTATTTAATACAGTCAAATCTGCTTCGTATATGTGATGACTTCTTAAATCGATCTTTGGATGCGTTTTTAAAATCTCCGAAGATCCACGGGGTGTGTTGCTATTCGACGTTTTTACCCTATTTCTATCTCTAATAAAATCTTCTAGGGACGTAGAAGAACCGCTCGCCTTTTCGGGCAGAGAAGTTGACGGAAAATAAATTCTGTTTTCGTTATTGTCGTGTCCAGCTTCTTTCCTACTGTTGCTTCCTTGGTGCCTTTTATTCGGACTATTTATCCTTTGTAAATCGATTTTTGACAGTTCTTTTATAACATCTTCTTCGTTTAATTCTTTTTGTTGGTGCTCGCCGTTGGGTTTCTTTGTCACATAGTCGTAAACACTTTCGGGTTTTTCTGGGATGTCCGAAATATCTGGTAGTCCCCCGCTTTCTTCATTTTTGACGACGGTTATACTGATTCCAGGATGTAACTTGGAAAATTCTTCCATTGCGGTATTGCTTACTTGCGGTACGGGAAGGAAGCTATTAAACAAGGTTGCAAGTCTTATGATAATGTTCAAAAATCTTCTGAGTAACATCAGATCGCTCCTGATATTTTTATAGCTGAACGTTTCCAAGAGTTTTGATAACGATCCCACAATGGTACCGCTCTTTTCGAAAAATTGCCTGAACAATTCGAAACCGTAAAAGCCGTCCCCGTAAGGGCTGTCTTCGTTGTAAAGAACATTGTGTTCGTTGTATGAATCGCCGTCAGGTGAAATCAAAGACACTAGCGATCTTTTCTGTTTTGTTTGTTCGTTTTGTACGAAATTCTTTCCTGAAGTGGGAACATCATCAGGGACTCCCAAAACGCCGGACAAAATAGTAAAAATTAATAGCTGCAATTCAAAAAAGGTTATAACACGTGATTAAAATGCATGTACAATAAAAAGTCGAATAAAATTTTACAAAACACGATCACATTTACGACATTTTATGTAGGTATCTTTTACATTATATTGTATAATTTGACCCACAACAAGACTGAAAATAATTTTTACTTACCTTTATCGTTATCATAATGTTGATCCAACACCTACAACATTAAGC